TTGAAGGCAGGTGATCTGCATTTGTTGGGGCTGATTGAAGACGGGTTGTTTGTGTCTGTTTGGGCTTATTGTAGGCAGGTGATGTGCTTTTCTTGGGGCTGATTGAAGACGGGTTGTTTGTGTCTGTTGGGGCTGATTGAAGGCAGGTGATCTGCATTTGTTGGGGCTGATTGAAGACGGGTTGTTTGTGTCTGTTTGGGCTGATGGAAGGTGGTTGATCTGTGTCTGTTGGCGCTCACTGAAAGCAAATGATCTGTATTGTTGCGGACATCTTGGGCGCTAAGAGGAATCAAAAGTTAGACATGTACCTGACGGACGGAAAGCAAGAGCAGGTGTGCTGACAGACGTAGAAACCCAGTCAGGAAGAACAGGGATTCGACCACCGATCATAGTTATCTTTCACGTCCAAGGGACACAACTCTGCACAGTGAATTAAGATGCATTTGTTGAATTGCCCACTCGCATGCTCCTGAATTTGCACAACATATTCTTCATTTGCTTACATCCCAAACTTCAGTGGATCTTCCTGAAATTTCTTCACGTGGAATGTATAGATGGACAAGAGCGATGGGGTAGCCTACTGGTTAAAGCGTTCGCTCACGCCGACGACTTTAACCCCGGGTTCGATTCCCCACATGGTTACACTGTGTGAAGCCCATTTCTGGTGTCCCCCGCCGTGATATTGCTGAAGGCAGGTCTTCGGGCTGATTGAAGACGGGTTATTTGTGTCTGTTGGGGCTGATTGAAGGCAGGCTGTTTGTCTGTTGGGGCTGATTGAAGACGGGTTGTTTGTGTCTGTTGGGGCTGATTGAAGGCAGGCTGTTTGTCTGTTGGGGCTGATTGAAGGCAGGTCTTCGGGCTGATTGAAGACGGGTCGTTTGTGTCTGTTGGGGCTGATTGAAGGCAGGCTGTTTGTCTTTTGGGGCTGATTGAAGGCAGGTCTTCGGGCTGATTGAAGACGGGTTATTTGTGTCTGTTGGGGCTGATTGAAGGCAGGTCTTCGGGCTGATTGAAGACGGGTTATTTGTGTCTGTTGGGGCTGATTGAAGGCAGGCTGTTTGTCTGTTGGGGCTGATTGAAGGCAGGTCTTGGGGCTGATTGAAGACGGGTTGTTTGTGTCTGTTGGGGCTGATTGAAGGCAGGTCTTGGGGCTGATTGAAGACGGGTTGTTTGTGTCTGTTGGGGCCGATTGAAGACGGGTTGTTTGTATCTGTTGGGGCTGATTGAAGACGGGTTATTTGTTTGTTGGGGCTGATTGAAGACGGGTTGTTGGGGCTGATTGAATGCCTTCAATCAGCCCCAATCAGTCATCTGCGGTTTTTAATCTATGAGGTGTTTATATTATTGAAACTCAACCGAGTCAGCGTGCTTACCGAATAATCGCATATGCTGTGCCTTTAGTGACTTAACTGGTGATCGGTGGGGATCTGTGTTACTGGGCAAGGAAAGAATGATGCACACCGTACCAGGAAGTACAGTTTGTCTCAACACAGCTAGGGCCCCCTTAAATCTCACTTTATCCCTTACTTTAACCCTAACTTTACCCTCACTTTCACTCTTACATTAACCCTTACTTTCATCCTGTCTCGATCCATACTTTAATGCTTACTTTATCCGTTACTTTAACCTTCGTTTAAACCATACTCTAACCCAGCATTCACCTTACTACAACTCTTACTTTAACATACTAATCCTGACTTTAATAATTACTTTAACCTTTACGTTAAACCTTACTTTAATCCTTACGTTACCCTTACTTTAACCCTTCATTTAATCCATAATTTAACCGTACACTAACTCTCACTTTAATCTTTTCTTTACCCCTTACTTTAATCTTTACTTTATCCCTTACTTTAACATTTACGTTAATCTTTACTTTAAGCTTTACTTTTACCGTTACGTTAATCATTTCTTTAATCCTTACATTAACCCTAACTTTAACCTTTCCTATATTTTTACTTTGACCCGTATGTTAAATCTTACTTTACTAGTTACTTCAACAATTGCGTTAATCCTAAATTTTTACTACAAACCTTAAGGTTACTTCAAACTTTAAAGTTAGCTTTAACTCTGTCTTTAACCTTTCCTCTTGCCCTTACTTTAACCGTAACGTTAACCCATCACTACCTTTCTTACTCTCACGGGGGCAGTGGGGTAGCCTAGTGGCTAAAGCGTTCGCTCGTCACGCCGAATACCCGGGTTCGATTCCCCACATGTGTGATGTCGATTTCTACCCGCCATGATATTGCTGGAATATTGCTAAAAGCTGCATTCAGCCATACTCACATACTCTCACGTGCCCCACAAATCCAGATTGTGGGGTTGTGTTGTCTTGATCTCAACGTCCATCCCAGGCATAGGTCCTGACTCGATATTCGCATGCTGGTTACTTATGACCATTAGTTTCATTAAATATGTGGATGAATTCACGGCTCTAAATGATACCAAACTGCATCAACTTCGACGAGTACGGACCAAAAGCATAACAGGTTAATATCTGTTAGACCAAATTTGAACAACACATACATGTTTTGTTTGTTTGTTGCTTAACGCCGCACTCAGCAACATTCCAGCTATATGGCGGGGGTCTGTAAATAACCAAATCTGGGCCAGACAATCCAGTGATCAACAGTATGAGTCACTTTGAGCCTTGAGTCACTTAACTGGTGATCGGTGGGGATCTGTGTTACTGGGCAAGGAAAGAATGATGCTCAGCGTACCAGGAAGTACAGTTTGTCTCAACACAGCTAGGGCCCCCTTAAATCTCACTTTATCCCTTACTTTAACCCTAACTTTACCCTCACTTTCACTCTTACATTAACCCTTACTTTCATCCTGTCTCGATCCATACTTTAATGCTTACTTTATCCGTTACTTAATTCGTTTAACCATACTCTAACCCAGCATTCACCTTACTACAACTCTTACTTTAACATACTAATCCTGACTTTAATAATTACTTTAACCTTTACGTTAAACCTTACTTTAATCCTTACGTTACCCTTACTTTAACCCTTCATTTAATCCATAATTTAACCGTACACTAACTCTCACTTTAAGCTTTACTTTACCCCTTACTTTAATGTTTACTTTATCCCTTACTTTAATCTTTACTTTATCCCTTACTTTAACATTTACGTTAAACCTTACTTTAACCTTTACTTTATCACTTCCTTTAATGTTTACTTTACCCCTTACTTTAAGCTTTACTTTACCCCTTACTTTAACCTTTACTTTATCCCTTACTTTAATCTTTACTTTATCCCTTGCTTTAACATTTACGTTAAACCTTACTTTAACCTTTACTTTATCACTTACTTTAATGTTTACTTTACCCCTTACTTTAACCTTTACTTTATCCCTTACTTTAATCTTTACTTTATCCCTTACTTTAATGTTTACTTTATCTCTTACTTTAACATTTACGTTAATCTTTACTTTAAGCTTTACTTTATCACTTACTTTAATGTTTACTTTATCCCTTACTTTAACATTTACGTTAAGCTTTACTTTAAGCTTTACTTTTACCGTTACGTTAATCATTTCTTTAATCCTTACATTAACCCTAACTTTAACCTTTCTTATATTCTTACTTTGACCCGTATGTTAAATCTTACTTAACTAGTTACTTTAACAATTGCGTTAATCCTAAATCTTTACTACAAACCTTAAGGTTACTTCAAACTTTAAAGTTAGCTTTAACTCTGTCTTTAACCTTTCCTCTTGCCCTTACTTTAACCGTAACGTTACTTTAACCGTAACGCTGCTTACATTAAAGGTAGTCATCAAACGTTAGTTTAAAGCGCTGCTTAACCCAAAACGATATTAAAAACGTGATAATTTTAGCATTACTGTCTTTTCTGCACATAGTTACTGACAGTTTGTTATAACGCTGGTGCCTCGTACTGATATGTAATTTCATTGTCATGCCTGTATGAGTGAGTGAGTTTTGTTTTACACCGCTTTTAGCAATATTCCAGGAATTCCACGGCGGGGGACACCAGAAATGGGCTTCACATCGTGCAAGTGTGGAATCGAACCCGGGTCTTCGGCGTGACGACGAACTCCTTAACCTCTAGGCTACCCACCTCCCCTTGATGTCAATCAATCAATCAATCAATCAATCTTTAATTTACAGTACTGAAGAGGCCGTAGGCTAATAGTACATTACATACATACAGTAGCACACCGCCCCTTGATGTATGTATGCTACCAATATTGCATGTGACCTATCCCTAAACAAAAACTAAAACAGCACGTGAATGTAGTTAATCTGTCAAGGCGTGATAGATTTACTATAGTCATATGAAAAGTCTCTGACGTTCTTTCGCGTCTTATAGTGGAACGGGTCATACGTATACACGAAGAACTTAATTAAGCACCCCTGTAATTTTGCATATACATAGAACTTCCCCTGGTCACCACGATCGAAAAACATGACTTTTTTATGACCCGTATTTAAAAACTCATACAAACAGACAGCATGATCAGACTCCATGTTGAGTTTATGATGATAATTGCTCATTTAAAAACAAAAGATTTTTATACAAAACCATGTCTGTATAGTATGGCCCTGGAATGTTTAATGTTGAATTTTGTGTAACCTCCATGTGACGGTATGACAGCCAGCACCCTCCTCCTCATACTCCCAGTCAGCCTCCTGATCCTCTGAAGGGGCAGTCTGCTACTCGTGTAAAGCAGCTTCCAATTGGGCCAGTTCTGTACGTACAGGAGGATCCCCTTGTTGCACACGACGGCCAATCTTGTCCCAGATATGCTCCAAAGGGTTAAGATGGGGGTCATTCAATCGTGAGATATGTCAGGGTGTGCTTAACTAAGTTCTTTGTGAAAGTATCGGCCATCCTGATTGTGGGTAGCATGTAGCACCCCTCCATAGTAACGCTGTCAGCCCGTCGTGGGGTACCATGATTAATAGTAATCTACGACTGCAGCCCTACAGTATAAAACCTGTGCCGCTATTTCCTGGTCGACAGAGACGATGAAGAGACTGTCGTTGATGACGCTGGGCCTAGTGACGCTGTGTGTACTGGTCAGCTTGTGCAGTGGTCAGTATATGCACACTTTACTATATATTTTGTGTCTTGTGTTATATTTATATTCTATTTTCCATATATTCATACGATAAATTCACATATACGTTATTATGTTTTACGCTAATATACCAGTGGGCACCTGCTATTAACTAACTGAATTACTTAAACACCATATGGCAATTACAGAACTCATTTACCCCTATCCTTTACCGTGATAGAATAATTTCACGAAAATCATGTTGCAAAGTGGGATTCGACCTCAGACACGAAGGCCAACGATCCGAAGGTCAACGGATTAACCACGATTGACTATGGGGCTACGCACGCAGTGTTTTAATAGTTGAACATCGTTTCAAATTTGAAATTTTCAAAAACAATGTTGTTTTGAGGGTTCTTGGAATGTTTGCCATGGCTGAAATACCATCTCGGATCTGACATTAAGTCTTTGAAATGGTCAGTGAAACCCCTTCTTTGTGGACTGACTTATGGTATATCATAAGGAGAAAAACAATTATGTGGTTTCATAATGGTGTATATATTTAGTCGTTCTTTTTCTTAAAATCGAGGTTTCAAATGTTCGAAAATATCCGATGATTTTCTTTTCGCCTGACAGAAAGTGGCCCCAACACACATTCTACTCTCATAGAAATATTCACACGCAGTGAAACCACCAAAGGATTTCAGATTTTCGAAACCTATTTAACTACGATCGTGAATCAATCAGTATACCTTTCTTCATAATGCGCATCAGATGCTGATTACACCATCAGATGTATCACAATGTATCAGATGATGTTTGCGTATATCGTATGATTTAGGCAATATATATTTGGGTTGGTTACTCTGTAAATACTATACAGATTATTCGATGTGTACTTTTAGCATATCCCGAGGCCGCATATAACTGCAGAAACAGATTAATACTTTTTGAAAATGTTCATTTGCCTCTTGGTCATCTTCGGTGTTGCATTTTAATTCTCGCAAACTCTCGTACACAGTGGGAATGGCCGTCACAATATCCATATGATCAAATATTCGATGACGTTTGCGTGTAAATTGCATTTTGATTGGTCAAGGGCGGGTAATTTGAACCTTTCTGGCAACCGACCAGCACTGGTCATACGGTGCTGTAAATGAGACAATCATAACCGACTTAAATCTAAGGTTTAAATTACAAGATGGCGGCATGTCAATGACCTTTGATGACGATTGCTATCAGCTTCACCATCTCAGACTGTTTTAATATCCCGCGTTAATGGCTACTGGTTTTACAGGTCAGACCGACCCCTGTCGGAGCTACAAGACACTACAGCATGACAAACGAGTGTACACTTACGTCCTGTCTGAGACGGAACAGGCCGAGTGCGACCACTACCTGCCGGACGGAAACGATTGGTAAAGTAGTAGCACGGATTTCAGCGTAATATGCCGAGAAGGGCCGAATGATGCGACCTCCTTGTTGAGCTGTTATATTGTGCTTTATTGACAAAGATTATGGATAACACCTTCTTTTATTCGTGAGTGCTATCCATAAAGGTTGTCAATATTTTAATTTACAATTTCTAAAATGCCAGCCATTCAAAGAAGTTATAATGTGCTTGATCCGCAGTAACGACAATGTGCGTGCGTGCGCTTGTGTTGGTGTACATGCCTTTGTGTGTGTAATGTAAGAAATGTCAAACCAAGAGAAACTTCACTGAAGGCCTCCTCTTCTTTAGATAAGGACATATGATCACTTTGTGGCGTCAAGAACAGTGCGTGAATATGATCGCATCTTTACGACAATCGACAGTCGTACGTCGAATGGGGGCTACGACTGTCCTTACATTACGTAGACAGAGGCCAGAGGTGCTGGTCCATCCAACCGAGTAACCTTATTGAAGGATCATCTTGTTCACATAATTAATATATGATTGATTTGTGGCGTCAAGAACAGTGCGTGAATATGGTCGTATCTTTACGACAATCGACAGTCGTACGTCGAATAGGGACTACAACTGCCGTTACATTAAGTTCGCATCGAAGAAATAGACCAGAGTTGCAGGGGACCTACGATCTTACCCGAGCCCATGTGTATGAAATGTCCCTCCAACCGACAAACTTCACTGAATGGTCATCCCGTACAGATGATGACATGTCATCAGTTTGTGGCTTCGGGAACAGTTCATTAATGATCTCAGCAATGAAACACTAAAATATGCAAATATCAGGAACCTATTTCACAAGATCATCTTCCCTTATAGTAATGTGTAATGATTCTTGCTGAGTGCCCATGCTTGTCGTCAGAGGCGACTAACGGGATCGGGTGGTCAGGCTCGCAGACCTGGTTGACGTCTTCGTATCCCAATTGCGTAGACGGTTCACTCCCAAAAGACAGACCACCCATTAGACAGACTCAATGAGTACACTAATTAGCTGAGCCATGCTGTCAACCCCTATTTAATTAATGAGCTGACCCAGAGTCACTACAGAGTATAGTAACAACACACTCCTATCTCCTGTGCCCTTCTCAAAACATAAACTAATCCTTTTACTGAACAGGACAGAATAGAACTGAAATTTTATTCTAAAAAATCACGTTTTGTGACACAGAGAACATACAGCATATTGATACATATTAAAATATTGAACAAAGTGCAGTTTTGAAAAATTTGGCAACTTTAGGGTTAAGTGGTGAATAATCACATTTCCTGAGATAAAGACATTTTTCAATAGTTGGATGTTGACACAAATATTGGGGAAGAAATTGATTTCTGAGGGCATTTAGTGCTGGACAGTATAATTTAAAAGTGAAGTTCATCACAGACATCTAAATTCACACTATGTTTCCATTCTTTACAATACTGGTCAAACACATTCAAAGGTTTTTGCAATCCATCACTAGTTTCAGCTAATATGACTGACTGACTGACTGAGGTTGGTTTTACGCCGCTTTTAGCAATATTCCAGCAATATCACGGCGGGGGACACCAGAAATGGGCAGACACACATTGTGCCCATGTGGGGATTCGAACCCGGGTCTTCGGCGTGACGAGCCAACGCTTTAACCATTAGGCCACCCCACCGCCCCTTCAGCTAATATGACAGGATCGTCAGCGTAAAGTAATATCAACAACTTCAATTTCAAGCTGTCCTTAATAAGCTTACTTACATGTTCGAGGCCAGTTACATCCTGTTCATAAAGAAAACACTCAAGATCATGCAAGTATGAATGACTGGAGAATAGTTGTTGAATTATTTTTGCAAATAACTGGAGAACAGGATGTTTTTATTACTTTAGATTATTTGAAGATGGAAGTGAAAAAGGATTTATAAAATACAGTACAAGCAAAGTAAATGGAGAACGGGACGTTTTACAAAAATATTTTTGCCATGACCCTTTTTCCATGACTTTTTCCGATCACCCTTCTATATGGCTACCTGTATGCCAAGAACAAGGTAACCAGGAAAAATGATGATGTTCAAGTGACTTTCTAATAAGTGTTATCTGTGCACTGACAAACATGTAATTAAGAAATACAGTTTGGTCTACCACCATGTATAGTGTAATAAAACACACTTTCGCCCTGAACTATTATAGTTAAAGTACGAGGACGCTTGCGTCCGAGTGCTTTAACGTTATAATAGTTCAGGTGGTTATAGATGTTTATAAACGTCTGCATATGTTTGATGGGTTTATGTCCTTTGAGATCAGTAAATATATAACAATGTCCTCAAATTGAAAACTCCATCCCTTTCAAACGGCTATAAAATTTAATGAAGATGGTTTTAGAGCCATCAGTGTCTTGTCTCACATTGACACCCGTAGGTATCGGCTTGACGGGACGGGAGCAGGGGATCTCTACTCTCATTGCCCCAGATCTCTGCATGTGGGACGCTCTTCCCCATTTGGATGAATGGTGAGTTCCCTACGGCAGTCGTAATTATTCGCCTTGCACTCCGGGTGGCCTCTTTCCAGAGGGTTATCACATATTACAACTGTCTTAATCACAGGTTTCCCAACTGAGTAAATATTCTGTAATCCCCGAAAGGTAATATATTGTAGTACTGACATGAAGGTAGACAGATAGATCTGGATTTATTTGCGCTCAGGTGTTTTATTAGTAACTGGCGAGGGATGTGACAATATTTTCGGATTTACTTTGATTGTAGCGAGACTCGAAGGGTTTAGCTGCCATATACATCACTTCAAATTGTAGCATTTCTTCAGCATTGTTTGCTCGTTCTGCTTTTGTTTTTTGTAAAGTGGGCCACTGGCTCTGATTAACATTGCAATTTCCGCTAGACAATGATCAACCGGTCTCCCCAAATGTATATTACTTTACCAAGGCGTTTATACTGTAGATCTGGTAACCTGCAGTGACCTGTTACGATGTAGTGTTAAGGAGTACAATGCTGTTAGGGGGTAAAATTGTTGTTGTGGAGATACACTCCTGTTAGGCGATGCAGCGTTGTTTGGGATACAATTGTTGTTAATGAATAGTGTTGCTAGAGAATACATTGTTGTTTGGGAATACAATTTTTGTGTGGAGATGCACTCCTGTTAGGCGATAGCGCGTTGTTAGGGGATACAATTGTTGTTAATGAATAGTGTTGCTAGAGAATACATTGTTGTTTGGGAATACAATTTTTGTGTGGAGATGCACTCCTGTTAGGCGATAGCGCGTTGTTAGGGGATACAATTGTTGTTAATGAATAGTGTTGCTAGAGAATACATTGTTGTTTGGGAATACAATTCTTTTTTGGAGATACACTCTTGTTAGGCGATACCGCGTTGTTAAGGGATACAATTGTTGTTAATGAATAGTGTTGCTAGAGAATATACATTGTTGTTTGGGAATACAATTTTTTTATGGAGATACACTCCTGTCAGTCGATACCGCGTTGTTTGGGATACAATTGTTAATGAAGTGTTGCTAGAGAATACATTGTTGTTAGGGATACAATTTTTGTGTGGAGATACACTCCTGTTAGGCGATACCGCGTTGTTAGGGGATACAATGGTTATTAATGAATAGTGTTGCTAGAGAATACATTGTTGTTAGGGATACAATTTTTGTAGGAGATACACTCCTGTTAGGCGATACCGCGTTGTTAAGGGATACAATTGTTGTTAATGAATAGTGTTGCTAGAGAATACATTGTTGTTTGGGAATACAATTTTTTTGTGGAGATACACTCCTGTTAAGCGATACCGCGTTGTTAAGGGATACAATTGTTGTTAATGAAAAGTGTTGCTAGAGAATACATTGTTGTTTGGGAATACAATTTTTTTATGAGATACACTCCTGTTAGGCGATACCGCGTTGTTAGGGGATACAATTGTTGTTAATGAATAGTGTTGCTAGAGAATACATTGTTGTTAGGGATACAATTTTTTTATGGAGATACACTCCTGTTAGGCGATACCGCGTTGTTAGGGGATACAATTGTTGTTAATGAATAGTGTTGCTAGAGAATACATTGTTGTTAGGGATACAATTTTTTTATGGAGATACACTCCTGTTAGGCGATACCGCGTTGTTAGGGGATACAATTGTTGTTAATGAATAGTGTTGCTAGAGAATATACATTGTTGTTTGGGAATACAATTTTTTATGGAGATACACTCCTGTCAGGCGATACCGCGTTGTTTGGGATACAATTGTTAATAAAGTGTTGCTAGAGAATACATTGTTGTTTGGGATACAATTTTTGTGTGGAGATACACTCCTGTTAGGCGATACTGCGTTGTTAGGGGATACAATTGTTGTTAATGAATAGTGTTGCTAGAGAATACATTGTTGTTTGGGAATACAATTTTTTTGTGGAGATACACTCCTGTTAGGCGATACCGCGTTGTTAGGGGATACAATTGTTAATAAAGTGTTGCTAGAGAATACATTGTTGTTTGGGAATACAATTTTTGTGTGGAGATACACTCCTGTTAAGCGATACCGCGTTGTTAGGGGATACAATTGTTGTTAATGAAGTGTTGCTAAATGGAATGACCTAGATGCAGTCCTGTAATTTATAGTTTAGTCTTTCAATTCTCTGTAATATTAGCTAGCATCTCAATTGTTTAATCTATATTCCAAGTATCAAATGCTATACATTGTCTGCTTTTTATTATGCAACATGTACCATTTTACTCTACCCACATATCTTGTTCAACTGTAGCCAAGTAAAGTGGATAAAAATACTTTACAAAACAAAAAAGTGTTGCTAGGGAATATATTGTTGTTACGGGATACACTAGTGTTAGAGAATGCATTGTTGTTGGAGAATACACTGTTGTCGATGGATATACTGTCAAAAATATATAATGTTGTTAGAGAATACATTGTTGTTATGGAATACATTGTTGTTTGAAAATGCATTGTGGTCAGGGGATACGCTGTTGTTAATGTACAGTGTTGTTAAATAATACCCAGTTGGAATACAATGTTGTTAGAGGATACAATGTCGTTAGAGGATACAATGTCGTTAGAGGATACAATGTCGTTAGAGGATACAATGTCGTTAGAGGATACAATGTTGTTAGAGGATACAATGTCGTTAGAGGATACAATGTCGTTAGAGGATACAATGTTGTTAGAGGATACAATGTTGTTAGAGGATACAATGTTGTTAGAGGATACAATGTCGTTAGAGGATACAATGTCGTTACGTTAGAGGATACAATGTTGTTAGAGGATACAATGCTGTTAGAGGATACAATGTTGTTAGAGGATACAATGTCGTTAGAGGATACAATGTTGTTAGAGGATACAATGTTGTTAGAGGATACAATGTCGTTAGAGGATACAATGTTGTTAGAGGATACAATGCTGTTAGAGGATACAATGTCGTTAGAGGATACAATGTTGTTAGAGGATACAATACAATGTGTTAGAGGATAGAGGATGCAATGTCGTTAGAGGATACAATGTCGTTAGAGGATACAATGTCGTTAGAGGATACAATGTCGTTAGAGGATACAATGTTGTTAGAAGATACAATGTTGTTAGAGGATACAATGTCGTTAGAGGATACAATGTTGTTAGAGGATACAATGTCGTTAGAGGATACAATGTTGTTAGGAGATGCATTGGTGTCAGGAGATACAGTATCGTTTGGTTATATACCCTAGGGATACTATGTTGTAAGGGGATATAGTGTTGTTTAGGAATATGCCATTAGAGGATAGGGCGTTGCTAAGAATACAGTTGTTAGGGGACAGGACGTTATATTGATCTCAACCGGTTCACTTGACCCCCGCAGGTTCCATCCCGACCCCCTCTGAGGGAATAGTGAGCCGAACGGCCTTCCAGAGGGGGATAATCGGGTGCAACGAGACCCAACTCCAAGTGAGGGTGAAGAACTGTGGCGCCTTCAGAGTGTACTTCCTCAACAAGCTTAGCGGCTGCCCCGGGAAGTACTGTTTCGGTAAGTCGCCTCCCTGCCTCGCCCAAACACCATTAAACCATTGTGAGCGTGTCACGACCAGTTGGTGAAGTTAATTCTTAGCCAATAATTCACTAGGCGAGTAAAGGTGACGCCACTATGGTCTTTATGCAAATCTATGGAAAAAAAATAAATTATGTGTCAACGAATACCATGGTTTCAGTCAGAGAAATCAATAGATTGTAATGAGTGAGTGAGTTTAGTTTTACGCCGATCTCAGCAATATTCCAGCTATATGGCGGCGGTCTGTAAATAATCAAGTCTGGACCAGACAATCCAGTGATCAACAGCATGAGCATCGATCTGCGCAGTTGGGGACCGATGACATGTGTTAAAAGTCAGCGAGCCTGTCCACCCGATCCGGTTTGTCGCCTCTTACGACAAGCATGGGTTACTGAAGATCAATATTCTAACCCGGACCTTCATGGTGTTCAGATTGTAATGATTTTCAGCAGTAGAATTAACAGGTCCCCATGATCCTCAAACACCCGCCGTGTCGTAGGGACATTTACATTGACAATGTCTTCATGATTTGGTTGGTTGGATTTTTCACGCCGCACTCAGCAATATTCCAACTATATGGAGTCGGTCTGTAAATAATCCAGTCCGAACCAGACAATCCAGTGATCAACAGCATCAGCATCAATCTATGCAAATGGGATACGATGGCATGTTTCAGCCACCCGATCACGTTAGTTGCCGCTTATGACAAGCAAGGGTTACTGAGGACCAATTATATACGGGATCTTCTCGGGTTATGTCTTGAGATCACATTGACGTGATTGAATTCCTTTCCGGTAAATAGTCCTAAAATACTGCTTGCCACACAACACCACATGGAACATGACTACAAATATCACTGTTACCTTGTAGACTACGTTGAGAAATGCCCCCCCAGGACAGAGCTCCCCAACGGGGTACCAGCCATGCACACGTGAGTAACCCCAGAAACCAGCTCCTATTAATGTTTCAGCACCAAAGAAGTTTTGCTCGAGAACATGTCCAAATTATGAAGTGTTTCTTATTCTGTTTCAGTCAAACACCACTGCTAATACATTGACATGGTGATACCACGAGATTTCATCTTGCAGAAGAATTCCAATATTTTTATGTATTTCATTCATTCTTTTCATGAATTGAAAATAATAAAGTGTGAGTTAGTTAGGTTTTACGCCGCTTTTAGCGATATCCCAGCAATGTCTGGAGGACACCAGAAATGTGCTTCACACATTGTAATCATGAGGGGAATCGAACCCGCCCCTTCGGCGTGACGAGCGAACGCTTTAACCACTAGGCTACCCACTGTCCCCCGAAAAGGAAATCAAATCATTATGACTTCAGTGATTTGCGTTGACTTGTCCTTTCAAAATATCTGTTTGTTCAGCCTCGATTCCAATGTCGGCAAGCGTAAAAGCGGAAGTGCGGCCATGGGTGAAATCCCACAAACTGACAGACGTCAGCGGCCGGAAACTACATTTCAACTGCACCCGCCTGCACGACACAGCAACGACGTATCTGTACGACGTGGACTGGTACATTGACAACCGTCTGCGCAAGAGTTACCGCAATGTTCCGAGTTCTCAGTACTACCAGACGACTGCTCTGATCCAGGAAGCTAGCTGGCGACTCCCAATGACGGTAAGTCTTTTCACGGTGTGATGCAGTGGTATATGATTGATGTGGATTCGAACCAAGACTCACTCAAATAGTAATCCTTTGGTATTAAGAGTTACCCCTCAAACTGTTGACTGACATCGGGGAGTACCGGGGTTGGTGCCAGGAACACAGCCATTCTGACACATTGGGTAATGCAGAAGGCCGCAGTGTTGGGGGGCGCATCTTCTCAAACGTTCTTGGTGGGTTCGATTCTGACTGTGCCAGGACCACCTGAACCCTCTGTGCCCCATTCATATATTTTAAGTTTTAAACAATCATAATAATAGTAATAAAATACCACTCACTCACTTACTCAGGGTCCTACTATTTGTTTTGGTCTTTTTGCAGGTGAAGTGCTCGTTTAAAGCTAAAACAACACCAACCGGAAAATTCAGCAAGACCTTCACCAGTGCAGACTTTTTTGCTGGAATAAAAGTGAGCAAAACGTTGTATTTATATTTGTGAATGTACCTTTGTATCAGGGCCAGAATTGGTCTTCAGTTACCCATGCATGTAAGCAGGGCCAGAATTGGTCTTCAGTTACCCATGCCTGTAAGCAGGGCCAGAATTGGTCTTCAGTTACACATGCCTGTAAGCAGGGCCAGAATTGGTCTTCAGTTGCACATGCTTGTAAGCAGGGCCAGAATTGGTCTCCAGTTACACACGCATATCGTAAGTGGCGACTAACAGGATCCGGTAAAGTTTGCTAACTTGGATGACGCATGTCATCGTATCCTAGTTTTGATGCTCATGATGTTAATCTCTGGATTAAGAAAGTAAGATTCTTTATGGATAACAACTTCTTTTATTATATATGATGCGACGTTTCGGTATGGATTCTTATACCGTTGTCAAGCAAGAGTGAAGTACTACAGCACAGAACAGACTTATATACATCAACAGGGATTAAGTAATAACAACATGTAGGTATGAATCAAGGGGAGTAACAACAACAAGGCACTGTGGCAATAGTCACCAACTTCTAAATGCCAATCAAACAGATCAATCTCTGGATTGTTAGGTCCAGACTCAATTATTTACAAACTGCCGTCATATAGCTGGAATATCGCAGCGTAAACAACAGGATCCGGTAAAGTTCGCTAACTTGGATGACGCATGTCATCGTATCCTAGTATTGATGCTCATGATGTCAATCTCTGGATTATCAGATCCAGATTCGACTATTAAACAACAAATTTACATACATCCTCTTCTACCCCAGATAAGCAATCCCGTCAACACTATACCGGAAGGAAGCTCAGCCTCCGTGACCTTCACCTCCACAATTCCCGTTCCTTGTGTCACCGACGTGCCAGTCGACTGCATCATCAACTTCGAGACCACCATCTCCTCCACCAACTTCACGTGCACGAGGGTGTCCGGTTCGACCAGTGTGAACGTCCCTGGCGTGTGTGGCTTCAGCTTCGACGGTAGACGATGGAACAGCCCCCAGTCCATGAGGATCATGGCGATCACTAACGGCCTGAACAGGAACCCCACGGCTCCGGCCGTCCTCCGACTTCAGTCCTCTGACTACAGCAGGATCCTGCCCCTATGGTCAGACTACAGGCTGCCCGAGATACAGGTCAGTGATTAGTAATATCAGCGATAATTTCATATTCATGGGGAAGGAGCCCGTTTCACAAAGCTATCGTAGCGCTACGACTGTCGTAAGGTGAGGAGGTGAAATTGGGTTTAACGTCGTGCTTGAGAATATTTCGCTCATATGAAGACGTGCATGCGTGTGGTTGTGGATGCGTGGCTGCTTGTACTAGCCCAGACTGAAGCTGGTTTTATAGTGCTAGCTCACAGGGTTTTTTCTTGGTCTTAGACATGTAACTCAGCTGTTTCAAATTGTCGAACTGAGTTTGAAACTTGAGTAAAACCTTAGTTTCTTTTGAGAAATCGGATCCTCGTTGTTGTTGGGTTTTTTCAAATAGTAGCATTTAGAGTTATTTGTAGCTGCATTTCGTAACGTTATACCAATATCATGATTAAGCGGACTGGGGAAACTCTAAATAAACGATTAGAATAATTCCTTTGGAAAAGGGTATTGTCGCCAAATGTGATCATGTTTCTGTGTTTAACAAAGGGTGTAGGACCCTCTCGTCCATCCCTTCCCTTCCTAGTCTAAACATGTTTAGGTTTTGGGAATGTTTTGTTTAGGTGGTGTTTAGGCTGTGAGATAATAGCTCATTTCATTTGTTTAGACTCTAAAGCTGTAAGTAGTCCCGTGGAATTCTGAGTAAGAACTGATCTTCTCTAACCCGTGCTTGTCGTTAGAGGCGACTAAAGGTATGGCTGACGTGGCTGATAAACACCATCGTATCCCAATTGCGTAGATCGATGCTCATGATGTCAATCACGGGATTGACTAGTCTCTATTTTTAATTAAACATCATACAAAGGAAGTAAACGTAATAGAAACTGGGAAATACAACTGCTAAAACATCAGCCTGAAGCTGAACATGTAAAACCATTATTCGCTTGCTACACTGGCACTTTTATCCGACTCATATACACTCAAAGATGGACTTTACTGCAGTTTCTTACAGCTTGTGCCAGTGTCGTTTTTAAGTGGTGACAATACAACAAAATGGTTATAATCTTTCATTTGTTATAACCAGTGATATGGCTGCCATCAAGGCATGTTATAAATAGGAGGGGCGGTGGGGTAGCCTAATGGTTAAAGCGTTGGCTCGTCACGCCGAAGACCAGGGTTCGAATCCCCACATGGGTACAATGTGTGAAGTCCATTTCTGGTGTCCCCCGCCGTGATGTTGCTGGAACATTGCTAAAAGCGGCGTAAAACCAAACTCAGTCAGTCAGTCAGTATAAATAGGAACAACATTTACAGTTAGGATTAAAGACGTTAAGGAACATCCGATTGTTATCATATGTAAATGGTCATGTCATATGCAGCTGGACTGTTGCCGATAGTTGCCTTAGAGAGCACACAAACAGCAATATTGTGCTCTTATTGGTCTTCCAGGCAAAAGTGGCAGACAGGAACCGAAACGTTGTCAGGAATGTGTGCAGAGCTCACACCGACGTCCAAATCAACACATTCGATGGAGGGTAAGTGCCGAAATCTGATTAAAATACCCCGATAAAAGACAATAAGATAACATTTGCCTCTATTCCCTACTTTTATAACCTACATGGTTTTTTTAACGACCTGACCTGTGAAGACCCGGGTTAGAAGTGATCTTCAGCAACCCATGCTTGTCGTAAGAGGCGACTAACGGGATCGGGTGGTCAGGCTCGCTGACTTGGTTGACACATGTCCTCGTATCCCAGTTGCATAGATTGATGTTCGTGCTGTTGATCACTGGGTTGTCTGGTGACTGACATGACAAATTGTATTCACCCAACCATTTACTACATATTTTCTCGTCCCAAAACGTAAAACTAACTACCTACGTAACAAACTATCATCGGTGTAGTTTTCATCTTGAGTGTCTTCCAAATTCGAAACCAGGGACCGCCATAATTTCCACACAGGGGAAAGCAAGCGTTGGGTCTGTCATGAGTGTCTAGGGCTGCGCAATATAATGGTTTAATTTACCGTTGACTGAACGTACGATACGCTGGTTGAAAACCGGTATTTTGACTTGCATTCGAATCCCGGAAACATGGGCTTGTTTCATTTGTGCCAAATATTCTTCACATTTTTATTTTATCATGATTAAAAGTTGTTATTAAAGCTTAATCAAGCATCGTGATTGTGTTGTGTTTTACTCTATAAATCATGCATTAACTCGCTTATAAGTAGTATTTTGTTTTAAAATACTTCAGGCAATATATTGCAATACATATCGCAATACATGCTTTCGCATCGCAATATATTGCAATATGAAAATTGGGTGCAATACCCACCCCTATGAGTGTCTCACTTAATATCTATTCCAGTATGGGTACATTTAGCATGCTGAAGTATGTGTGTTGTGTTTTGTTTGTATTCAAATGGAAATTGTTCTGCTTTTTTACAGATATTACGAGACTGGAGCCGTGGGTGTATATACACTGTACCGCCACCTATACAAACCCCTGTCGGTAAGGCACAATCTTCGTACACCGGGATACAACCAAAACAGTTCTAGACTATGAACATTACCAAGAAAGTCTCTCAGAACCTAGAGGATAAATCTAAAACGACTCCAACTCAACTCTTGAGTGGTGCTTTGTTTGTTTGTTGTTTTACGCCGCACTGACCAACAGTCCAGCTATATGGCGGCGGTCTGTAAATACTTGAGTCTGGACAAGACCGTTCGAGTCAGCAAGCCTGACCACCCGATCCCTTTAGTCGACTCTTACGACATCTATGTACGCTGAAGACCAGTTCTAACCCGGATCTTCACGGGTCGTGAATGATGTGGCATGTTTTCCCTAGCCTGAAATTAGGGATTGTCCTGGTCTCAGTTTGGATATATTTTTGGTAGGTTTATATGAATTTATTTTAGGGGCAAAATGTCTTTTTACGAACAAATGTGATCCCAAGTATAAATTTGTCGATGATATCAACAAATGATGACGTCACAAACATTCGCAGTGGCTAATTTGACGTTAAGCCAAATTGCCACTTTTCAAACTGCATATTATTCTAAGGTTTTGTGTTTGAAACATAATCAGATTCTACCAATCCAAAAATATTTATTATCATTCAAATGTTATGCTATTTTATATTTTAAATTTAAATTTTTAACCGGTAAAAATTATGACTTACCTATTCAGTGTGGATATGTTTGTGACGTCATCAGTTGATGTGAAAGAGGGTTTCAAGGTGTCCACCATTTCTCTGTGTGTCCAGGTAATGACCAAGACACAAACTTGCAGATACGGTACTTGTAGTTGTGCAATCGCCATCCACGCCGGCAAAGACATGTTTATGGTTTACGCATGTATGAATCAGTGGATCGTCAAGAGAGACGGATGCAACACTAACAGCTACCTCGAGGTGTCTCAGCTGAATTCGGGAAAAAGATATCAGGTTGGCTGACAGTGCAGGGACACCCAAAACTTACTCCATACATGATTGTACTTTTATTGGGAATAGCACCCTAGTCTTCGACTAGACGATCTAACGATTTAGTCGCTAGGCTACCTCCCACAAATGTGTTGATACACTCTTCAAAAAAAAGAAACGCATAAGACATTTTAGAAGAATTTATTGCGTTAGTTTATGAGCAATTAATTTCAATGGTAAATGTGAAAATTCACACGACTATAGACAAAGACTTCGCCAACACAACAGCTGGTGTTTCTGTTTACTTTATTCCACAAGATGGCGTCAAAGTCAGTATTTTGTATGGCCACCGTTGGCAGCAATTTCTGGTCGGCTTCGTCTCGGCACAGACTAGATAAGTCGACGAAGTCGCTCTTGCAGAATTCTTCCCCACTCTTCCTGCAATGCGATGGCCACTTGTGGAAGTGTCTTGACGTTGACGTACACGTTGATCGAGTTCATCCCATTGGTGTTCTATCGGGTTTAGATCTGGTGATCGGGAAGGCCATGGCAAGACATTGACATTAGAATTGGCAAAGTTGCGGAACATGACGCGTGTTGTATATGAAGTAGCGTTGTCATGCTGGAACAACTCTCCTGTCGGTCCATAATCGGAAGCATGTGATGTGCAAGGACTTTACTGATGCTGTCAACTTCCCCTGAACCACCACTAAATCAGATCTTTGTGTGCCGGATATGACACCCCAAAGCATGACACTGTCTCCACCGAATCTGTCGACCTGCCGAATGCACTTAGGGGCAAAACATTCATTTCTCCGACGATAAACACGCTGTCTTCCATCTCGCCGATGGAGAAGGAATCGTGATTCATCAATAAAACAGACTCGCCTTCAGTTCTAAGGTTCCAGTTCCGGACTTTACGACACCATCGCATACGAGTACGATTAATCAGCCAATTGCAGACTGCGACTCCCGCCCCTCCCTCTTAACCTCCCCACACCCCTCTTCAAGGCGGCCTATGGCGATGTTTCGATTGGCGACGATGATTTCCTCTTTTCCAGGCCAAAACGAATGACAAAATTAAACACAACGTTTGCCTTTTTATAGTGATCGATACTATACCGCATACTTTTCCGCTTACTTGCACGTGCATTTAGCTTTGTATATTTTCTTGGTGTCGCTTTGGCGATTATTTATTCAAACCCATCTGAAACAAGGGGAACACTTAAAATTGCCGCTTTTCGGTGCTGAAGCTGGTAACAAGCACACACAGATGACGTTTTGGAAAGAAATAATAATATATTTATATTGTTTTGCAACGTGAGTCTACTATTCTCAAAATCACCTACACGCTCCTTCTTTGAAGAGTGTATTTAATCAGAGAATTAAGGATTAAAGAAGAGCATTACCTCTTACATTTGCATCTGCTTTCGTCGTAAGTACCTTGGTTATCATTAATTGTTGCACTTTTTCGTCTAGGTTGTTATGCCGACTGGAACGAAAGTCGAGTTCTCCTACACCTCCCTGAACCTCCTTGACATCCAGATCTTCGCCTCCCCAGCAGACATCGGCAACACGGAAGGCCTGTGTGGGAACTTCAACGGTAGACGGCAAGACGACAACTCAACTCTGGCTACGCTATTCCTGTACGTCAACGTTTAGCTTCTGGGTCTGTTCGCAGTGAGCGAGGGATTTGATTTAATTCCGTGTTTCTGTTAAATATCGTGTCATCTTTTGTAAGGGAACGACCCAGGTGGATATCGGGTGAGAATAGGTCCCCATAAACCTTAATCGTAAACTCAACAAAATGGATCGGGTCTGATGATTCATTGTTGTCCACGTATACTTACAAGGCGTGGGTCGTTGCTTACGATATAAATCACTGGATTCTCTGGTCAAGTCGTCAAATATTTATATGAGACTCGACCAAATTTTGCATGGTCTAAGAGTTTATTATAACTTATCAAGTCGACGTTGATATACATTGTAATACAAAAACTGAAAACTTTGCCAGTCGGGCCAGTGACTGTGGAGATTTTGACCCGACTGGATTTTTTTTACCAGCTATTTCGCACAATGCCAGTGCGACGTTGAAAACAAATACAAGAGCGAGAATGGCGATTTATTTTGTACAAGTATGCTATTTGTTTGTGGCTGTCGACTGTATGCAAGCTGTATCTCTACAACCTGTTAATAGTCGAATCCTGGCTAGACTAATCTTCTATTGATATTCCAATACAGTCGGGGTACGGAGATAGACAGTCAATCAATACTTGCAACCAAACAACGAGACGAATCTTGCCACTAGGTGTTATTTTGGGGGGCAATATTGTAGCAATACCACGGCAGGGGCACAAGAAACGGGCTTCACACATAAAACCCATTCGGCAATCGAACCCAGCGAGGGGCGAACGCTTTATCCATTAATCTATCCCACTGCCCCATATACCCAGAACATAGAAACACATTAAAGGGACAACTTGTGAATTGGTGGTTGTAATTTATTATGAACGTTGAAGCGGACTTTGGAATATGGGTCTGCAGAATTTTGTTTCTGCAGTCTTTTGTTGTTTTTTTGTCTTACAAAAGAATTTTAACCATTCACGGCTAGTCAATCACAGGAATCCATGGTGATTGAGTTAAAGACGATGTACCAGTTTCCTGTAACCCAGGAGCACCGGAATGGTGCTAACAGACCAAGAAACATCAGAAGGAATCTGAGACTCGGACTTACAATCATATATTAAAGAAACGACTAAGGGTAAGGGAAGTATGCGACACCTAAGACGACTAGGCACTCGTATGTTCCCTCAAGTAGATGCAGGGTCTCAGCCTAGTGATTAAAGCGTTGGCTCATCACACCGAAGGACCGGGTTCGAATCCTCACATGGGTAGAAAATGTGAATCCCATTTCTGGTATTCCCCGCCGTGAGTTTGTTACATTGCTGCTAAAGGCACATCAAACCATACTCATATGTCATATCTCGAAATATATGCTAACATTAAACCACACACACACACCCCAAGTTTGAAGCCTTGTTTGCTTGCAGCCATAGTAACGTTGGGGGTAGTACTGCGTTCATCCAGGCAGCCCGGGGGGTCGCGGACCCTCCCCCCTACCTGTGTCTCTGCGCCAGAAATAACAGGATTCCTGGGACAGCTGCCTTCGTGAACAACGTCACCTGCGACTGGAGGGAATCCTTCCACTGCTCCAACATCGAGTGGACGGCCAAACCGTGCGATCATCGTCATCGTCGCGACCTGCATCTAATGGAGGAACACGAACCCAGTGATGACGTTGTTGTAGACGCCCCTCCCGTCAAGGTACATGGGGACACACGTGACTGACTTCAGACGATGTGTTCCCTTATTGAAGATTATTTAGACAATGTAGAAATGTCATCATTCAAAATACAATAGGGCCCGTAAGTAGGTCACGGCACTTCGCGAGACCTTAGTACTTCCGGTGACAAACAACGTTTCGAAAAGGTGTGAAAACGTGATGGTTGTAAGTTGACAGTAAGGAACCGATAATCCTTGCAGGAATAACAAATCTGCTCTAACCATCCCCAAATTAGCCAACTGTTACGACTGTCAACATCTGTGACAGCTAAGTATGGTGTACACTTGGTCCGGCCTAGTAAAGTCATATTTGGCGGTCGCGCAATATGGAACCAGAACTGGTTCTTGAATATACGCTTGTCACCTGAAATCTGGTACCGGAAGTAAGCTGGGCCCTGTCTCGCATATCGCAAGTTAGCACGCGCAAGGGAACTGGGAACCAGTTTTGTACCGTCTAAGATATCTAAGAAGTGTAAACCTCACTTCCGGCTCCGAATATCAATTCTCATAATAACCCGCATAAGCTGCTCCATACCAGACTAGGGTGTTTACAAGCGTGCGCATTAGGGCTGGGACGGGTCCACATTTTCTACCCGGGTACCCCACCACCAAATTTGCAAGAAATGGCAATAAATCCTTTAGATCGGAGGCTAAAATTTCGAGTTTTTCAATATCTTAATCAAAAGCAGTGACTGCATATTATGTCTAAATTTTCAAAGACAATACAACCTTTTAATCATGAAAGAATAACATATGACATTGTAGAATCCTTTAGTCACATGATCATAACGGGTCAGGGTATTGAGACGGGTATACCCGGTAGGGCTGCGCAATATAACCGGTTTACCGGTATTTACCGGTTCAGACATGAAAACGATGCGTATTGCGATACGCTGATCGAAAACCGGTATTTTGACTTGCATTCGGAAAACTTCGTAACACTCGGAAATCTTCGGATATTTCCTTGTTTCATTTGTGCCAAATATTCATCACATTTTTAATTTATCATGATTAAAAGTTGTTATTAAAGCTTAATCAAGCATAGTGATTTTGTTGTGTTTTTGCTCTATAAATCAAGCATTAACTCGCTTGTAAGTAGTATTTTGTTTAAAAATACTTCAGGCAATATATTGCAATACATATCGCAAAACATGCTTTCGCATCGCAATATATTACAATATGAAAATTCTGTGCAATACCCACCCCTAATACCCGGGTCCAATTCATTAGCCACCCGTCCCAGGTATCCAGGTTACCCGTTACAGCCCTTGTGCGCGTTTCCCTTATTTAAGTCTGTACACTATATCATTTGCTGACATGTTTTACAAAAAGGTAACATTTTACTGACATACTAAGAAATTTGTTTTCAAAAATCATTTTAAGTGCAAGCATGAACACACACGAAGACACACTAGATGGAACAGCAATCCATATAGTTGCTGTGTCTACGTTGTACCTTGAACCTTGAACCTTGAACCTTAATTTGTGTGGCCCCCTGTCTACCTAAAAGAGTAAACGCGCTGGGCGCATTCATGCAAACAAGCGCACAATGAACTAAATCTAACATATAAACATCACCGCCGACCCGAATCCCATAAAGTTGCTGTGTCTTTGATTGAATCTTGAACCTGAGTATGACTGAGTATCCCTACATCGGGACCGGTTTAGAGCCAAACTGGAACAGTCCCCACTTTTCTTTTCTCAGCGCGTGGCACGAAGCACCTGGACAACGGCTTCCGCACGTGCCAAATGTCTGGAGATATTCCGTCAATTCCGCTCTTTCAACAAGTGTGTGGAGTTACCTGACGTTACAATTGACCTCGTCCTCGACGACTGTGCTGCCGACGTCGTGGTAAGTGTCGTCGTTAACGTCGACTCTGCTACTGTAGTAACTACACGTCCTCTTAACACTCTATGAATGTTCTATGGTTGCCTGTAACAGTTGAATACCCCTAACAAACAGACAAGTCAAATTACAGTCAAAGATAGGACGGCGGTGGGGTGAAGCGTTCGCTCCTCACGCCGAAGACCCGGGTTTGATTCCCCACATAGCTGGAATATTGCTCAGTGCGGCGTAAAAACTAACCCACATGGGTACAATGTGTGAAACCAATTTCGGGTGTCCACCTCCGTGATATTGCTGAAATATTGCTAAAAGCGGCGTAGAACTAAACTCACTGGCTCACTTAAGTAAGTGAATGTAGGTTAACGCCGCAGTCGGCACTTTTCCAGCTAAATCTCGGCGGGTTGTAAAACTGAATCTTTACTAAGCAAACAAGCGACTGAAACTGTAGATCGATTCTTAATGATGTTAATCACTGGGTTGTCTGGTTCAGTCTCGATCGTTTAACGAACGCTGTGAAATCACAATAGACAACAAGCAAACGTTTTCCCATAGATGTATGACAAGGTATGGTTTGTTGTTTTACGCCGCACTCAGCAATATTTCAGCTGTATGGCGGCGGTCTGTAGATAATCGTGTCTGGACCAGACCATCCGGTGTTCAACAGCATGAGCATCAATCTACGCAACTGGAATACGATGACATGTGTCAACCAAGTCAGCGAGCCTGACCACCCGATCCCGTATGACAAGCATGGGTAGACTGAAGACCAATTCGAATGGTGTAGAATACATGCCACCTGTCTTTGACAGCTGACCGGGACCACAGACTGGGTGCCGATCGCTCTGGAACTGATCAAGGGACAGTGCATCAACGTCCTCGACGTCGACACGGAGGTGTGGGAGAAGACGCAGCCGGGGACGACGATGTCAGTGGGAGACGCTATCCTTCAAGAAGCCAAATGTCCAAATGAATGCAGTGGAAACGGGCACTGTGTGAAAGGTAAGTGAGTTTGGTTTTATGCCGCTTTTAGCAATATCCCAGCAACATCATGACGGGGGACACCAGAAATGGGCTTCATGCATTGTACCCATGTGGGGAATCGAACCGGGTCTTCAGCTTGACGAGCGAACACTTTACCCATTGGGCTACCCCGCCGCCCCGTGAAAGGTAAGGTATGTCCCGATGTGTGTACACGGGCACAGTATATAGAGGTAAGATGTGGTTTAGTGTATGGAGACCAGGTCACAAATCAGCTGAAGATAAGGAATGTTGGTCACGGAGATTCCTTGGATGGTTGACCGTGTTTGGCCGCTGGACTCTTGAGAGTTTCTAGGACTCTAAATGAAGCACACATGACACCGTGGTCTCACTTTAGGCAAGTGAGTTTCTTCAAAATTGCCTCTATTCACCCAGCAGTGGATGGGTACCAAGTAGGATAAGATGGTTATATGACTGTTAACCTTCTAGTCATGGTAAATGGTTTTGCGCATGATTTGTCCTTATCGCCACTGCGCGCATTTGGGCTAGTGGCCTCTTTTAGGTGGATTTTAGAAGCGCAACAAATGTAAAGTATTAAACATGTGTGTGTGTGTGCGTGCGTGTGTCTTTATGTGCGGGCACAGTGTTAGAGGTATGGTATGTACTGATGTATGTGGTGGACACGGGCAAGCTAGTATCACTCCATCATACCAAAAGTATCATCATTGCTTTGTGTTTTGCGCTATGCTATAGACGTGCACATTTATGTTGTCATCAGTATGGTGAAATATGTATCCAGGTGTTTGCACGTGCAACTCTGGGTTCGTGGAAGATGACTGTGCAGTCAACTTGAACGTACCACCACGTGTCACGAGACTGTCACGTGACGGGCTGTGTGACGTCGCCAACAGCACGTGTCTCGCCACCTACGTATACGGAGACAACTTCTACAACTCCACCGGCCTGAAGTGCCGCATCACTGAGATCCTGGTAGGTGATGTTGTCAACGATTCTGTCATCTCTGCAATTACCAACGCGTTGGCCTCATTCACTGTGATGAAGTGCGTCCCTACGGCTAACCTACGATCGTGGGTTCAAATCTCATATTTGCGCTGGTTCGTAGAGACCATGTCCATGTTCGTTAGTTTCAGCAATGTGGCTTCGGGCTTCCTTCCTGTTTGTTTGCTTGTTTGACGCTGCGTTGTGTCAACCGAGTCAGCGAGTCTGACCACCCGATCCCGGTAGTCGCCTCTTATGACAAGCATGGGTTACTGAAGATCTATTCTAACCGGGATCTTCACGACCAGCTTCCTTCCTCATGAAACGAGGGACACGCTGTGGCATAGTCTGTTCAAACCAAAATGTCAAACTTGAAACATAAATATGACATTTCAAATTTCAAATCCTAACATCTACCTTGAGGTGTCTCAGCTGAATTCAGGAAGACGATATCAGGTTGGCTGACAAAGCAGGTACACCAAAAAACTTACTCCATACATTGTATCCTTGTTATGAATAAACCCCGAGCCGAGACGATCGAACGCTTTAGCCACTTAACTTACCCCCAACCCACCACCACCCCTGCCTCAAAGGTTTGTTGATGTTTGCTTCAGGGAATTACATTTGAAACCTTAAAGTTCTAATAACAGACCCCATATCTGTGTGAAGATCCGGGTTACAATTGGTCTTCAGGGCCTAGATTTTCGAAGCTCGCTTAGCGCTAAGATCGTCGTAAGTTAATGTTAATGTATCGCACCTACGACTATCTTAGTGCTCAGAGAGCTTCGAAAATCTGGGCCCAGAAACCCATGCTTGTCGTAAGAGGCGACTGACGGTGAGGTGAAATGGGGTTTAACGTCACACTTGAGAATATTTCGCTCATATGACGACGTGCGTGCGCGTGTATGTGTGGCTGCTTGTACTAGCCCAGACGTTAGCTGGTGTTATATCTGATAACTTGGAAAGACGATGTCTTGGTAATATTTTAAATGAGACATCCTGGGATAGTCCTATCTTAAACAATAGAAATGAGGTGATATTCGTACAGTATCATCTTCCTGTTCTAGGTGAGCGAGAAGGTCGTCCAGGTGGACGCGAGGGCAATCGACGTAGCTGCAGAATTTGAAAACTTCAAACAGGTGAACGGTTTTTGTGAGGATGGGTACACTTATAGCGTTGTATTTTCTTCATGATATCTGTTCAAAGACCTGCTATTTATCAGTGGAAAGGCTTGGTAAAAACTCATCAATCCACCCAACCATCACTCAATCTCTCTCAACCGCCCAGTCATTCAAATCAATGGTACACATATGTAGAAGGGCACTGAAGATGGTGAAAACTCACCCACCCTCTCACGCTCGCACGCACGCACTCAACCACCTACCTATTTAAAGCAATGTGTTTGAAAGTTGTACTTGATACACCTTCGTAGAATGGTAAGGTGATGAAAACTCACTCACGCATTCACTCAATCACTTATGCACTCACTCAGCCACGCAATCAACAACGTACGCACTCACTCACTCACGCACTCCACGACGTTCGCATTCACTCATTCACGCACTCAACAACTTATGCACTCATTCATTTACGCAGTCAAGCACTCACCAACGTACGCACTCATTCATTCACGCACTCACCCTTTCAACAACTTATGTACTCACGCACTCATGCACTAAAAACTCAAAACTCATGCACTCATTCACGCGCTCAACAACTTATGCACTCACTCAGACATGCACTCAACAACATACGTACTCACTCAGGCACGCACAAATGCACTCAACAACGTACGCACTCACTCATTTACGCACTCACCCTTTCAACGTCTTATGCACTCACTCAGACACGCACTCATGCACTCAACAGCGTACGCACTCACTCATTCACGCACTCACCCTTTCAACAACTTATGCACTCACTCAGACACGCACTCATGCACTCAAAAACGTACGCACTCACTCCGGCACACACTCAACAACGTACGCACTCACTCATTCACGCACTCAACAACTTATGCACTCACTCACTCACGCACTCAAAAACTCACGTACTCACTCAGCCACGCGCTCACGCACTCAACAACGTACACACTCACTCATTCACGCACTCAACAGCTTATGCACTCACTCAGCCATGCACTCAACAACGCACACACTCACTCAGACACGCACACAAGCACTCAACAACTTAAGCACCCACTCAGCCACGCACTCAACAACGTACGCGCTCACTCACTCACTCACGCGCTCAAGAACTTATGCACTCATTCACGCACTCAACAACTTATGCACTCACACAGCCACGCAGTCATGCACTCGACAACGTACGCACTCATTCAGGCACGCACTCAACAACTTACGCACTTACGCAGCTCTCTAACACACTTAACCACCAACTCACCCATCCACCAGGGCACACACTAGGTCACTCACTTATCCACGCCGTCATCTACCCACTCACTCACACTTCATCTGTTACAGGTGAAGTGCGACTTCCCGGCGGCGACGAACATGGCGTCCACCCTTTTTGCTCTCGGTCTCCATGGTTACCACGTGGCCGTCACTAACAACGGCAAATCTTACAGCAGCAACTTCACCTTCGTGGCCCACGACTCCCGGTGCCATCATTGCAACGTCACCACAGAGACCTGTACTCTCAAGGTACCATGTGACACAGACAGATCATGTGGATTTTATGTATCATGGATTTGTTCAGTTTGTGTATTTAGGGTTTGTTTCATATGCATGTATTACAGCTTCACAGAGAAACGGGACAGTGGGGTAGCCTAATGGTTAAAGCCTTCGTTCGTCACGCCGAAGACCCGAGTTCGATTCCCCACATGGGTACAATGCGTGAAGCCCATTTCGGGTGTCTCCCGCCGTGATATTGCTGGAATATTGCTAAAAGCGGAGTAAAACCATACTCACCCACTCACTCACAGAGAAACTGTGTCATCCGGATGATACCACGACACAATAGTCAATCTTTACTTAAAAGTCCGTACTTCACACACTTCACACTAGGTATACTCTGTACACTTCATATACATACACCCGTGAAGGTCCGGGTTAGAATATTGGCCTTCAGTAACCCATGCTTGTTGTAAGAGGCGACTAACGGGATAGGGTGGTCAGACTGGCTGACTTTCTTGACACATGTCATCGGTTCCCAATTGCGCAGATCGACACTCATGCTGTTGATCACTGGATTGTCTGGTCCAGACTCGATTATTTACAGACCGCCGCCATATAGCTGGAATATTGCTGAGTGCGGCGTAAAACTAAACTTAACTGACTCACTCACTCACTCACTCACACTGTATATACCCAAGGGCTGTAACGATGCATCAAACTGTCGATGGATTGCAATTGTTCAGTCTCCGACAGCAATTAATCGATGGTAGAAAGGAAAAGCTATCGATACATCGATACTTGGTGTGACTATCGATAGTTTAGTAATTGATTTCCGTTGATAAATGTACAGCGCAACATGCAGGATGTTTGGGTTTAGTCTTGCAGCTTCTGTGACTTTATGTTTTAATTACTGTATTTACTTGATCTGGGTTTCTTGTCACTCATAAAAAGAGACTGAAACTACTTCAACTTTTTATTTAATATATACTGTATATTTATTTTGGAAATGACTTCAAATGAGACAATTCAAGGAGTAAAACACTATTGCAATAGTTGGTCACAATAGACTATCACTATCGCTATAGTTGTTTCCCCCTCAGTAGTCTCCCCTGATATACTCCCAGCTTCGCACACTATGGATAGAGTATACACACTATACCTTGCGTATACTTCACAAACTTTAGTCTGAGTATACTCCGCACAGTGTATATAAATCGTACTACACACACTATTCCATAAGCTCTAACCCTAACTTCACACACTCAACGTTCGAAATTAACGTCGGTCCTTAGGCCCGAAGCCGACTGAAAAACACCTGGAACCACAACTTTTGTTTTCTGTAGGTCCTTATGGCCGACAGCTTTTTCATCCCCAATAACTAAGAGTATTATTTCCAGATTAAAATATAGAGGCCTACATATTCTTATCAGGAACAACAACAGGGGCGGATACAGCTTTTTGAGCAAGAGGGGGTGCACACTCTTGAAAAGGAGGTGTGCACACTTCATTCTCACGGGAGTTTCAATTGTCATTTAACACACTTTCAGGACAAAAGGGAGGGTGCGCACCCCTGCGCGCGCACGCACGCACACCTTAAAGTTAACGTAGTGCCATGATGATCGTAGCTCCCATACTTTAACATAGACTTACGACAGTCGTAGCGCTACGATCCCATACTTTAACATAGACTTACGACAGTAGTAGCGCTACGATCAGTTTGAGGAACGGGGCCTGGGTCCTTAGGTACGGCCGCTTTTCAGGGTTAAGGGCAAACACTGCATACACTTTAATCTGGGTATTCTAGTCCATCTCTGCTGCAGACACTACAGTTTGTACTTCACACTGTGTACACTAACTATTCCCTGTTATGTCCCCAGACGGGCACCTGCTACATCGACGGCGCGTGCTACACCGCGGGGACGGAGAAACAAGGCGACTCCAAGAAGCATTGCAAGCCAGACGTCGGCACGTTTACCTGGACACAGAAGATAGGTGAGCAGAGGCCATATTGGATCAAAATCTACCGACATTGCAACTGTGGGAAGTCGTCATGGCGTCTTGTAGCAGGATACGTCCTTATTGAAACTTTTAAAAACTTAATTCTATATTTTGCGTTTATGGAGACACGAAGGAAACATCTTTGTGAACACAACGTGTGTGAGTGGTTTGTTGAGGTCGCATTTGGGTTTTAGTTTAGTTTAGTTTTACGCCGCTATTAGCAATGTTCCAGCAATATCACGGTGGGGGACACCAGAAATGGGCTTCACACATTAGACCAATGTTGGGAATCGAACCTGGGTCTTCAGCGTGACGAGCGAACACTTTAACCACTAGACTACCCCAACGATCCAGTGTACACAACGTAGAATGCAGAGTGACATTTACCAGTGTTTAAATTCATAAATGCAAACATGAAATTAAGATGAGTTCTTATGAATACCTTCGTCAACAATTATAAGAACCAAAACACTTTTGTGAATACGTTTATATGTTCAGTTTGATTTAATAAGACTGACTGACTGACTGACTGAATTTGGCTTTACGCCGCTTTTAGCAATATTCCAGCAACATCACGGCGGGGACACCAGAAATGGGCTTCACACATTGTGCCCATGTGGGGATTCGAACCCGGGTCTTCGGCGTGACGAGCCAGCGCTTTAACCATTAGGCTACCCCATCGCCCCTTGATTTAATAAGAGGCGAAACCCGTCCATTTAGTGTCCCATCTTAAAATATCTGTATGGCTTTTGGTTGTTTTTTTAAAATAACCAAAGCCTTTCCACGAGGAACCCGAACTCAGCATAACAACGGCAAACAGCCCACCACTCGGCCACCGTACACAACTGTGCATTGATATATACTGTAATGTTGTATGAATGTTCATACAGAAAATAGTTGTCATGCCAAGATTTGTAGACTCAGAGTTACTTTTACGTTTTGAGCGGAAACGGCGTCGAGTTACTTAGCCTGACGTCCATAGTCTCCCTTGCCGTGCCAGGATCCGCTGATTGTGGTTTCGTTTCGCTACATTTGCGACCACTGCCAGGCACAACCGTATCAATACACCTAAAGCATATGATGATAACCTGCTTCACTTCCTCTCAGGTATGGGGCGGTGGGGTAGCCTAGTGGTTAAAGCGTTGGCTCGTCACGCTAAAGACCCGGGTTCGAATCCACACGTGGGTACAATGTGTGAAGCCCATTTCTTGGGTCCCCCGCCGTGATGTTGCTGGAATATTGCTAAAAGCGGCGTAGGTAGAGCCAAACTCAGTCAGTCCTCTCAGGTATGCCTTGATGTTTGATGATAAGCTGCATCGCTTTCCCTCAGGTATGCTTTGATGTTACTGGTGCTGTATAGCAGCATAGCACATCACTCACTCACTGTCTTTCCACAGAGCTGACAAACGGTATCCGGCTGAGCGGGGGGTTGTCTCACTTGGAGGGTAGGGTCGAGATCTTGCATGACAACCAATGGGGCACCATCTGTGACGACACATGGGACGACAACGCCGCCAGGGTGGTATGCAGGATGTTGGGATACGACGACAGGTCAGAATCTGAGGATAAGAGTCCTGTTTTCCGGATTCTGTTTTTGTGTTAACCTCATAAGGATTGTTACAATATCGGAGTCAATTTTAGTATTTCATTATTGTTTGATGTTTGCTCTTTCCTGTCTGTCTGTCGTCATTTCTACGTCTGTTGGACGTCATTCCTATGTCTGTTTGACGTCACTCCCCTGTCTGTTTGGTGTCTCTTCTATGTCTGTTTGACGTCACTCTATGCCCCCTGTGCTGTTTAACCCTTTTCCTGCCTGTTCGCATCATCATTTCTATGGCTGTTTGATGTTATTCCTATGTCTGTTTGACGTCTTTCCTGTCTGTCTGTCGTCATTCCTACGTCTGTTTGACGTCATTCCTATGTCTGTTTGACGTCACTCCCCTGACTTTTTCGCATCATTTCTATGTATGTTTGATGTTATTCCTATGTTTTTTGACGTCATTCCTATGTCTGTTAGACGTCATCCCTCCTATGTCTGTTATTCCTATGTCTGTTTGATGTCATTCCTATGTCTGCTTGCGTTATTCCTATGTCTGTTTGACGTCATTCCCATGTCTATTTGCGTTATTCCTATGTCTGTTTGACGTCATTGTTATGTCTGTTTGCGTTATTCTTATGTCTGTTAGACGTCATTCCTACGTCTATTTAACGACATCCCCATACACGTACTTCAGCCCCGGGAAGTCGACTCCCATTAAAGCCTTTGGGGGCGGTACTGGCCCAATCTGGATCGACGACCCCAGCTGTAACGGCACTGAGAGCAACATCGCCATCTGCCCACGATACTTTGGCGTCGTCCACTGGGGCAGCCACAACTGCAAGCACGATGAGGACGCCGGCGTCAGATGCAGTAAGTGTGTGATCTAATGCCACGTGAGACAGAGTCAATAACACACACACACACACACACACACACACACACACACACACAGAGCATCCCACCCGACACAGGGGCGTTGGGATAGCCTTGTGGTTAAAGCGTTCGCTCGTCACGCCGAACACCCTGATTCGATTGCCCTGATGGGTACAATGTGTGAAGCCCATTTCTGGTGTCCACCGCCGTGATATTGCTGGAATATTGCTAAAAGCGGCGTAAAACCATACTCACTCACTCACTCCACCCGACACATCCCACCACCCTTCCGTCTCCCATCCCTCACCTGCCCGTGAAGTTCCAGGTTAGAATTGGTCTTCAGTACCTAATGTTTGTCGTAAGAGGCTACTAACGGTATCGGGTGGTCAGACTCGCTGACTTGGTTGACACATGTCATCGTATCCCAGTTGCGCAGATCGATGATCATGCTGTTGATCACTGGGTCGTCTGGTCAAGACTCAATTATTTACAGACCGCAGCAGAGTGCAGCATTAAACAACAAACCAACCAACCTTCTTTCACAGGGCATGGGGTAGCCTAATGGTTGAAGCGTTGGCTCGTCACGCCGAAGACGCGGGTTCGAATCCCCACATGGGTACAATGCGTGAAGCCCATTTCAGGTGTCCCCGCCGTGATGTTGCTGGAATATTGCTAAAAGCGGCGTCAAACCAAACTCAGTCAGTCAGTTCTTTCACATCCTGTGGACCCAGCATGACAACCCCAACACAACCCGTTTTCTAGTCTGGGAGTCTATTTACGTTACGTACAACCTGACTCCTGCTTCCTGAATATACCCCAAACCGGATCACATGTTTGGATGCGTATATTTATGGCGTATATAGACCCGTGCCATAGACTTACATATTAATTAAGTGTAGCATAAATAATTTCCATAAATTTAATTTTCGTAAGATCCAAGTCACATTTTGCACATTTGTGAGGAATCATCTTACCTACAATCACACAATTTCTGTTTAATTTTCCGTTGCTTATTTATCGAATGGCAACAATGTAATCAACATATGTACAGTGCCGTGAAGTCCTTTAACATGGCGGCCTATTAGGCCATGAGCCATACAAATTTTTGGTACCACTCAGAGGGACCAAACACATTTATGTATTTTGGAGTGGTTATGGTCTCTACATAACCCAAAATGTATGATATGTGATTGTGCATTGTGGAACCATGCGTAAGTTGTTAAATGTGATGTCATTAGTTAAATACTGGGAGGAAAATTGAACTGAAATTATGTGCACAGAGCAGAGATGATTTCAAATTTGCCTGTCAAATTTTACAAAGATCCATCCTAAACTCACTTCATGAAAATTATTTATGCTACACTGAAATAACATGTAAGTATATGGAAATTACATCAGGTGTCCGAATATAACTGGCACCAGTCTGTACTTTCGCCAAACTTATTTCAACTTCATCTCTTTTTTATATATGCGACCATTGAGTGTTAATATTTACACACACACGTTTATACACACGCGCACGCACGCACGCGCACTCATGTACACACGCGCGCACGCACTCACTCACTCACGCGCACGCACGCACACATATACACGCGCGCGCGTTCACACACACAACACGCGCGCGCACACATACAAGCACGCACGTACGCACACACACATGCACACAGTCAAACGTTGATTTGTGACGTAATAGCATCCTTCCTTTCTTTAAAATATATACACACTCGGTCGTTTCGTAATATATACAGATACTTTGAAAGAAGGAAAGCTTTTAAGTCATAAATCGACAGTTGGACAACTGCTGATGTATGTGGAGAGCTGTACCTTGCATCTGATAAAACAAAGAATTTTTATTTTGTGTGATTACTGGTATTAAGAGTACGTATGTCATTACTTGTTTTGCCACGTTCACTTGTACCCGTCAAATCTTGCTATTTCAGCCCCCAAGACTGGCGGGACGGCTGTAAGTACTTGTTTATTGTTGTCTCAGATATATTGTTTGTTCAGAGTATCTAACGACCCACACTACCAACCATACTGACGTTACGTTAATACCAGCGGGGTAATCCTGGGAAGCAGAATGGTTAGTTTTAGTATAATCCCTTTGATGTGGTTGGGGGCCGTGGGGTACCCTAATGGTTAAAGCGTTGGCTCGTCACGCCGAAGACCCGGGTTCGAATCCCCACATGGGTACAATGTGTGAAGCCAATTTCTGGTGTCCCCCGCCGTGATGTTGCTGGAATATTGCTAAAAGCGGCGTAAAACCAAACTCAGTCAGTCAGTCAGTCAGTCAGTTGATGTGGTGGTATTGTGACTTTAAGGGATTAAAAAACACTGGGTGATGTAAAAATCTGGAATGAGAAGCGAAATGAGAATTGATTTGGTTAATACCAGCACAGGTGATGTGGTTTAGAAGACTAGTTTCTAGCCTTAAGTTGAAGTATATTGGATTATTTTTTCCATTTGTTTAAGTTTATTGAAGTATTTATAAATGCTATAGACCTAGTACCTACCCATTTAAGCCTCAATAAAGCTTCATGACCGACGCGCATGATGTCAATCACTGGATTGTCTGGTCCAGACTGGATTATATATACAGACCGTCGTCATGTAGCCAACGTACGGCTTTAAACAACAAACGTTTCTAACGTTCATACCAATTATGATCAAGAACTTTCCATCAAATAAATGATGCGGAAAGATATGAATATTACCAAATCTACACCTCCCATACCTACAACAAACTGACCTTGAAAAGCCAGCTTGACATGCCATGTCATATTTCAACACAGTGAGTGAGTATGGTTTTACGCCGCTTTTAGCAATATTCCAGCAATATCACGGCGGGGGACATCAGCAATGGGCTTCACACACTGTACCCATGTGGGAAATCGAACCCGTGTCTTCGGCGTGACGAGGGAACGCTTTAACCACTAGGCTACCCCACCGTCCCTATTACAACACAGGCTCACCTGGCCTCCGATTCTGTTTCATATAGATTGAGATTGGAAATTGTTTGACGACTCAGTGGTTCACGGAAATTTAAAAAGGAAGTCATTTTACGGATCAAGTAAATCTTGGGCCCACTTTCATCAATGAACACATTCGTTCGTACGTTCGTTCTTCAACAGGAGAGGCAAGTTGATCAATGTTCTTCAACAGGAGAGGCAAGTTGATCAATGTCTTCTGATAGTCAATGTCTTTATCAATCAATCTTTTTTCAGATAAATTGGCTGATGTAGTACTCTCCACGAGTTCACATGGATAGACTGGACTGATGTAAGTTCTTTTCGCGACAATATTTCTTTCTCAGGGCAAGCGTTTCAAAAGTGTCATTAAAATAGTTCAAAGCTTCTCTGAATTTAGCTGAATCCTTCTGTGTGTGGAGTGAGTGAGTTTGGTTTAACACTGTTTTGAAGAGTGGTCCAGTTACATCTCAACGTCTCAGCTTGATGTGGCAGGAAAGTCCGATGTGATACAGATCTTCGACAATTACCACGTGATGGGAAAGCCACATTAACGTAATGCGCCTAATGGCTGCACGAGTTGTATGATCCCCAGAGAAGTGAGATTGAAAATACGATGTGCCGTTGAAATTGACTGACTAACTGAGTTTGGTTTTACGCCACCAGAAATGGGCTTCACACATGCCCATGTGGGGATTCGAACCCGGGTCTTCGGCGTGACGAGCCAACGCTTTAACCATTAGGCTAACCCACTGCCCCGCCGTTGAAATTGACATCCATGAGCTGCCTTATAGAGTAGCTGAGCTGAATATTGGCTATACAAATGTATTTATGCATGTGTGTGTGTGTGAGGGGGGGGATTTAGGATGGATGGGTGTGGTGCTGACAAAAGTAAAAAGATAACTGGGACAGACCGGGAATCGAACCCATAGACAAAGGTTTCCAGCCTACCCAGGGGACACGAGTTCGCACGGAGACCAGCGCCTCAGACAATTGGGCCACCCACGCATCGAGCAACAGATGTTCCTACTTCACATCCGAGTGTTAGACTTAGTCTCTGAAAGTATATAGAGTAAACCGCGGTTGAGTTTGGGTTTTAGTGGCTTGCATCCTTATATCCACATGATGCTTCTATCAAGCTGGGTCCAGATATACGACTTCGTAGTGTCACGACATCCACGCCATTTATAAGTTTGACTTACGAATGACAAACTACTACGAACTGTTGGGAGATCTGGGCGCCGGTTTCCTATATATGGGTAAATCAGTGGAAGGGGCCGTTACTGAACGATATACATCGAATGGTTGATATACCTGAAGCTTAATTTTTGGGCCAAATTCCCTTGTTTGGCTTTTGCCAATCCTAGCAGAAATCCCGGTTTACTGCATACAGAAACAAATCAGTGGGATCAGTTTTGGTGCCATCCTCGATAATCTCCAGGGTATACGTTCCGATAAATCTCCACTGAACCCTGGATGCATCTACGGCTAGGCCCGATGATTGTATTTCATCCCTTGGTTGGCTTTTTTATCCAATCAGGTGTCTGTGCTGGGAAGTTGAGCGTACCAATCACAACTCACTTTCGCTTTTTAAATTACCTAACCGCTAAAACTTGGCAACAAAATAATATATTGTTGCAGAGGTACTCTGAAAGAGGTAGAAGGAGTTTTTGCATATATTTTTTTAAGATTTCAGACCTGTCAATTTGTATGTATATTTTCCCCCCAAATCTGAGTCGCACTGCGAACAAACTTTCGCGGCTACGACCGCTATCTTTGTTGACATTGGCAAGCTCGGTTGTAACGGCGGCTTATCTGATTGGCTACTATGAGAATGCGGAGCCAGCAAAGGAAGGTAATAAAATCATCGGGCCGAGCCGTAGATGCATCCAGGGTATAGTGGAGATTTATCGGAAGATTATCGAGGATGTTTTGGTGCATGGAATGTCTATTTCTTGTCTTAAAACTAATGGGGAAGTGCAGCATTTCACACATTTATGTCTCCGTAAATTTCACGTCCTCTCCTGTCCCTCTCTCCTACGCAGTTCCTAACTAGAGAAGATGCGGGTTGGAGGCGTGCCCAGAGACGGCCTGGACCAACACACCACGCCACCATCCCTCGGGAACATATACCCGTGAAGATCCGGGTTAGAATGAGCCTTCAGTAACCCATGCTTGTCGTAAGAGGCGACTAACGGGATCGGGTGGTCAGGCTCGCTGACTTGGTTGACACGTCATCGGTTCTCAAATGCGCAGATCGATGCTCGTGCTGTTGATTCCTGGATTGTCTGGTCCAGACTCGATTATTTACAGACCGCCGCCATATAACTGGAATATTGCTGAGTGCGGCGTAAAACTAAACTCACTCACTCACTCAGGAACATATTCTATACAAAACATTCAAGTATCAACTGACGATGGAGACATGATATACTAAACCTAGTCCCAAAAATATATAATTTTTATAGAAACAAATAACTTCATTTTAATTGAATAGGAACCCCAGTGAGATGAGAGATCCAGAAACTGAGGAAAATAATGTTGTTTCATTTAGGGCTAAATGGCTGGGTAGGAGGGAAATTAATATGGTTCAGGGACTGTGAAACAATACAATACTCCAGTTATCTCATCAATAGTGTATTTTCCTAAGTCTGTTTGGTTGCCATGGCTACGTATTGAATTATCTGAATCAGCTACTGGTTTAGATCCTTTCATGGATCCAAACATTGGGTACAGAGCTGAGTTAAAAAGACAGGTGAGGTGAGGTAAAACATGAATATAAACTCTTATATGCTAAATATAATGTGCCGCATTGAATACCCCAAAGATAAGCGGTCAACCTTCCGCTCTCCGGGCGGACGGTCCGTTAAAAGACAGGTAAAACATGATAAACAATATTAAAAAAATATTGGCAAGATTTATTTATTATTGCATAAGACTACAAACAACAAAAACAAACAAAATTAAATCTACTTTACAAAAAATATATTCCAATTTCCATATGTTATGTATATTGTACAACCCATTTTTTTTGGTAGGACTTTCTTGTAATGACTGGTTCTTATAAAAGTCCCCTTTTTACATTTGACATAATTATCTCTTTCATTCATAAATACATATTGATATAGCACACAGAGAATAGTGTCAACTGAACATAGAGAGCATATTGAGATCAGTGAGGATTTGGAGAACAAACTCCAATTTAGTTTACAAAGAACTGCATGTTTCATCTGACAAATTCGTACAAAGACAATTTTCTGATTAAAGAATTGGCCTCAGTCTAGGTATGATTGATTTCCTTAAAAGCTTTGAAGGCGACTTTATTGACAATCAGCCATATTGTGATGAAAGGTATGTAAGAGTGGATCAACATATATTGATCAACGTCAACGTTACACTGGAACAATGGTAAGAATACTCTATTCTTTAAAGGAAGACATTGAGCTATACCCAAAGGCTTGAAGATCTGTATTAACATGTGACGTAACCATGTCAAATAATAATTCCATTAGTTGGCAACAATGTTTACACAACCACAACTATATCTTAACTGAATGTACCCCAAGAGCATACAGAGTATAGAGCATACAGAGTATAGAGCATACAGAGCATAGAGCCCACACAGAATATACAGACATCATACTGGGGCAGAGAGTGAGTGAGTTTAGTTTTACGCCACACTCAGCAATATTCCAGCTATATGGCTGCAGTCTGAAAAAAAATTGAGTCTGGACCAGACAATCCAGTGATCAACAGCACGAGCATCGATCGACAAAATAGAGAACCAATGACATGTGTAAACCAAGTCAGCAAGACTGACCACCTGATCCCGATAAGTCGCCTCTTACGACAAGCATGGGTTACTGAAGATCAATTCTATCCTGGATCTTCACGGGTCACTGGAGCAGAGAGCACCAAGGAGCTGCCTCAAACCATAATGTTCCAGACAGTATCATAAGCAAACAGAAAAGCTGGAGTTATGTCCCTTAGTTGTGATGCTCTTCTGGTCATGGGTTCAGGTCCCTGATTATGACAGTTTTGTCAGCACCATACAAATACTTGTTCCACCCTAGGTCCCTTTCTCTGACATTTCTCCTGAATACATGATGCCTCTGAGAACGGCATCGAACATTGAACGGTTTTAGAGTTCAGCTACAGTAAAGAGCATAACCACAAATTTCAGGCTAAGTCAAACTTGTTGCCATGGAAATGCCAAAAATATTTTATTCAGAATTCCAAAACTACTCAAAGGCACCAGTACACCACCAGATCTATCTATGTGCCAAGTTTGGTGAAGAAATAGTGAGCGGTTAGGACCCCACTTAAAAGCGCGATGGGGATTATAAGTGTATATATTTATGACATTTCTCCAGCCTGCAGTGTTATTTGAAACACGGAGAACATCCATCTGCAGGGCTCAGCTAAAGCATTTCGAACTTGCACAGGTGCAACCTGAAACTGCAAACTGCATTCTGATACTTATACCAACTTGCACCCACTGCATACTAATATTTTGCTGTTCAAAGAACACACATTTCAGCTGGAGAACAGAATGATGAGGAACTGTCTTTGAGCAGTGGGGGCAGTATCCTAGTGGTTAAAGCTTTCGCCGAAGACCTGGGTTTAATTACCCTCATGGGTATAATGTGTGAAGCCCATTTAATAATTAGTCTATATATATTGCGCTAAATCCACACCAACAGCATGCTCATAGCATGACAGTTCATTATTACCCTGGATAACCCAGCTGCCTGTGATGCCCGAGAAGATTTTAGTTACATAACTTATCCAACCGGGTACCCAATTTCGGCTGGGTGAACAGAGGCAATTTTAACAAACTCACTTGCCTAAGATGAGACCACATGTGACCACATATCATTGTGAGGTAGGACTGAAGCCCTAGAAACTCTCAAGAGTCAAGCTGCCAAAAACAGTAACCAATCCAAAGACTCTCCACACCAGTGTTTCCGCTGGATTTTTTAACAGCTGGTCACCATGTCCAACAACTTCCTAATTTACCGATCCTGCACGAAATCTGCAGGTCACAGTCTGGATTAAATTTCTGTAATTTACTAGGTTTTAGTTTTGAAGACTGATTGCCACTTGGACTTGAACTTGAATAACTGTTTCGCCCCTTACTGTTGTTTGTTTCAATCATCCTCAACAGCCGAAATCTTGCATTTACCTCCACAAAAGTGGAGAGCCTTGTCTGCTTTCCTCTTGCCATTTCGACATTTAAATTGTTGGTTATTTAAATTATTGGCTAACATTTCTAATATTGATGCACCATAATTCCTGTGACTAAACCATAATTAAAGTGTGATTGTTGTTTCAAGATACAAAATACAGCAATCATTTCCAAATGACTGTCAAACTGACCAATCACACTGCACATACATGTAGTATAATCAATTTAGGAGGAAACATGAAAATCGAAAATTGTAATCGCCGATTCTATTATTAGAGGATTATTTGAGCGATTTTATTTTAATTTTGGGGACATTTTAAGCAGGCTAAAAGCGGCGTAAAACCATACTCACTCACCCTTCGAGCAGTCACTCTTGGAGCAGTGACTCTGATGACTACATGGACAGTGACTGAATGACTGTTATTGTTCATATCAAGAAATTTTATGAAGTTAAAATGATGATATCAAACCCAATGGTGAAAACACATACATGACATACATAATATTACAAACAATTATTCCTTTTACAATTAAAACCATTGATCAAGCCAATGAATACCCAACTGATGCACCGCAATCCTCAAATAAGACACACTTCTCCAGAAGGTGCTATTCTACAATAAGGCTAAACAAAAAAAATGTTGTGGTTCCGATTACACCTCTATAAAATTTAGAGTAGGTAGGTAGGATTATGTTTTTCACATTTGTTTTAGGAGTAAAGTACAAACTAGTAACACATTTATCAATGTATAATTGTTTATGCATTCATTGATTCAAGGCTTAGGCCATCATGTCACCTTTCTCTATCAGAATGGTCAATGTCTGTCGGTGCCAGGAAAAAACAATGGTATCTGAAAGCATATTTCATTCACACCGCTTATAAAAAATAGGGTCGGCAACAGAATTCTAGGGTCGGTCAGGTAATCGGAACCACAACATTTATTCTTTTTAGGCCTAAGCAGTGGGTTCAAAGCAGTGAACAACTCCATAAATAAGGGTCTTTAATAAGTGCCCATAATTTTAGACTTAAATTACCTAGTGGAATGGATTGAAATCGAAGATAAAAAAAGGGTCGATTTAGCACAATAGTTCAAATGTGAGGTCTCTCATTAGTCCTGAGTCTGTATTATGAGTTTGGATGCTTCTATTCCAACTGAAAACATACAATGGGGCGCCTATTTAAGGAAATAGTTTTCATATTAGCAGCATTCATTTCTCTGCAGACACGCACAAGTTTAAGTGTTGCATTTTGAACCTGGTCAACAGAAATCTGATACAGACCCTGAAATAAATATACTGTGAAACACTGCTGTGTGTCGAACTCTGAAGTGTCAAACTTACGGTCAGATGAGATTGGGTATTGAACTGGGCCTAGATTTTTTAAGCTCTCTTAGCGCTAAGATAGGCGTAAATGCCATACATTAACTTACGACTATCTTAGCGCTAAGAGAGCTTTAGAAATCTAGGCCCAGGAGCAAAAGATGTTAATGAAATTGGTGCAAATATACATATTATGAAATTGAACAGTTTGTGAGCAGACATTCACACTTCAGTGGCAAGAATGTATAAAATATCTCAATTCTCCATCACATGATAAGTTTTCTTCTATTTCCACTGAACAAATCATGTCAACACCACAAAATAAACACACTCGCAGAACTCCTAACTCCAATCAACAATATGTTTAAACCCAGTTTCAAACAATGTCATACCACATTCAACAACAGTCCAGAAAATGGTCCCATGTATAAGTCATCCTAATTTCCCTGAACCACATCAGTTTCCCATCCGCCCAGCCCTTTCCACATTGCTAAAGACCTAACTGAAGCAAGTCTAGATTTCCTCAGGTTTAGATTCAGAATCTCCCATTTCATTGGGGCTCCTTTTTTGATTTATAAGGAATTGTTTGTTTCTTTCAAAATTCTGTACATGCAGAGATTTCATGTTGATGTCAAAGTCATCCCTGCTCTTACTCAAGACCTGAGTGTCATGATCATCTTAGCGACACAATCACTTTGTCACACAGGTCCCTCAATAGTATTTGTTCCTAAGTTTTCATTCATATTCTTCATCCTTTAACCTGCTTTTCAGTCTTCTCAAAATACATTTTTAATTTTGATCTTTCATAGCCTCATCCAATACATTAACATCGACATTGGGGTCAGAACCCAGATTCTCAAACGCAGTCATAAGTTTGCCCTTGACCTTCATTCGACCTTGTTCTTTCTGAGGCCGTGCACATTCATTCAGGAGATTTTCAAGGTCCCAGTAGTCACGAGCATGCTCTGGCATATCGTGTAGCAACCCTCCTGGTTTTCCATCCTCATTTGCATACTGGGATAAAATGTTGCGACACGCTGCATAATAATTATGATCTGAGTTGACATGGGAACATAGTTTCTTCGTGGAGAACCCAAGGCAGTTTTTGCCTCCACATTCATCAAAAGGGCTTTCCAGAAAGTCATCCCATCCTTTGGGCTTGGCTGAAAGAGAGGATATACCGGTGCTAAATGTGAAGGTGTCATACAGAGATGAAAGCACACTGGAATATTGGGACAGGTCAGTCTAAGTAAACTTAGGCTCAGAATTATTCGTTACACTGCTATACTGAGTCTAACAAAGAAAAAGGTCACGTCAGCTAACCTTTGAGCGACCTATGGCTGTCAAATCAAAAGCGAGACGACCGAACAGATTTAACCAATCAGACAACAGCTACTATTTAGGGTTAGGCGGGACTTACAAAATGTTTTTGGAGTTTTTCTTTCCTGGTCGCTGACACTGATCTCTCAACAAACGAAAATCCGCATAAAAAACATAGATATTTTACCTATTTGACCTGCAGTAGAGACGCTTAGGGATTTCTGATGACTTGGTTACTATTAGCTTATATTTCCGCAAGATGACATCCTGGAATATTAACAAAAACGCGACTTACATTGACTCACTGTTGTCAATAATTGCGTCCTCCATGTGTATCACTCGGAAGCAATCATACGGAAAACAGCATTCGTAATCGTTCAAGTACAAACATTTTCAAGGTAAAACGGTATGTGCAAATGTTAACTTTCGCGATTTGGTAAGCTGTGTTCTCATTGGTCAATTCCAAAGGTTACCTGGCACAACCTTCTACTAGGGTTTGTTAGACTCAGTATAGCAGTGTAAGGAATAATACTGAGCGTAAGTCTACTTAGACTGGGGACAGGGCAACCATTTTGTTTGGTTGCTTGGGCTGCAACAAATCCAAGATGAGGCAAATACGATACATATCATGAATATTGGTAACGATTACAAATATTGGGTAACGAATACAACAAGTCAGCAGTTGATATATTATTCATTATATTCAGTTATACCGTGAACTATAATATGAACATACTTGCTGTGATTGCCATGAGATCCACCACGATGATATTCTCAAGGTCAATAACCCTGACCTTGCCAGATGCATCGACAGACAAGTTTTCGTAAGTCAGGTCGGTCCAGTACAGAGCAAACTCTTCTTTGTTGTTGGTCATTTGGTCAGCTATCTGCATGATCTGGGACGCTAGTTCAGCCTGGAAGAGTGAATGTAGATTAACAACCAGTCTGTGAAATGAACATATTTTACAGAAAACAGGCTCATAGTCGAAAAAAAACAAAAATATATAAAAATGAGCCCTGAGAATTTCTTCATTTTTCCTGAAGCTTTGGAAATCTAGACTTGCCACATTTTCTAGACTTGTGTGGGATTTCTTGGATATATTTGCTTCAGGGTCTGTATGACAGACTACAGTAAATGTTACCAAACATGTTTTCAGGTATGCTGATAACAGTTAGAGGGGTTCACTCTCACTTAGCCAGAGTCTAACCAAAAGCTTTTGTTAAGACAACACTACAATATGGCTAGGTGAGAGATGCGAGCTGAAGCTTGAGCATTTTTTTAAGGGCTATAGTCTATATCTACAATGCAACAAGATTTAAGAAGTATGCACTTGTGTGTGCGTTTGTTTGTAATATGAAAATTTGGTTTAAACATATTTTTTTCTGATATATTGTTCAGAAACTTGATCGTCAAACAAGCAAAAAGCTTATGTTAATGCCTCTCCAGACAAAATAACATTTTTGAGACTTGCATTTCATAACCTTGTTACAAAAGCATTTCCTGAAATATCCCAAGAGAATTCAAATAATACCATATCAATGTATCTCACTTAAATACAGATGTCACTTATGTCACCAATTGAGCATTTCCTCAAATCCTCAAAAAAATCAAATAATACCATATCAATGTACATGTATCTCACTTTAATACAAATTTCCCACTCTGGCTATGTGAGAGACCTGTTTTGGCAGAATCTGGCTAAGTGAGAGGACACCGTTAGAAGCATCATACACCTGACCATGTTTGTGGACATGGTGAAGTTGCCACACATCACAATCATGTTGATAGGTATTATGATCACATCTCTAGGCATTACGAACAGGTTTATGATCACATTTCTTGACATTATAACCATGTTTCAAGATATGGCATGATTAATATTTCTGCATCATAATCACCTTTCTAGGCATTTGTATCCTGTTTCTAGGCATTTTGATCAAAATATCTATTCAAGATATAATCATGTTTTCAGGTATCACAATATCTATGCACCATGATCATCCTTTCAGGTTTTATGATCACCTTTCTTGACACCGTGATCACATTTCTAAATATAATCATGTTTTCAGGTATTAAAATATCTGTGCATCATGATCACATGATCACCTTTTTAGGGTTAATGATCACATTTCTATGCACTGTTTCTAAGCAACTTGATCACATAATCATAATAATTAATATTCACCAGTTTTACAATCATCAAAGATAAAATGTCATGTTTTACATTCCACCAAGTTGTAAAACAGAGACACACAAACATTTATAATTGTATGTTTTTTACTCATTTCAATTTTATCCTATTTCTTTCTTTTTTGTATTTTATAATATTTCTTTTTAATTTTTGTGTGTGTGGGTGTGTGTAAATAAATTACACAGCCTTACATAATTATTTAACAGTATAATCATGATAATGAACAAAGTTTGCCTAATTCAATTTAATTTAATTTAATTAAATTTGAAGGTCATTTTTTAAAGACATTGGACTGAATATCATCATCTGTGATTGCCTGTATAAACGGTGGTGCCTCAGTAGGCATCCTGACAAGATCTTGGAGAGAACATGTTTCTTGTAGCAGTGACCTTCACCTACCCTCTTCTCAAACGGAGCATCGTAAAAGTCCCCCAGGGGTCTGCCAGTGTCTTCCACCATCATGTAGCGTCCACAGGCGCCATAGTACTCTGGAAACGGCCACCCCTCCCGAAGCTGGGAATGTCTGCAAATGACAATAACAGTTAGAAGAACACAGGAAGATTCACAAATAAAACAGTGCCAGGGTACATTAGCTCACCTGGATATGTAGCTAAAATATCTCAACACAGACAGACTCAACAAACCTACTGGCATTAATCATGTTAATGATATTCAAAAATATTTCCAGCATTGGACAGGGCAAACCAGTGTTTGCCCTTAACCCTGATAAGCTGCAGGCCCTAGGAACCCAGAACCATAAAAAGTTGTGGGCCCTGATCAGAATGTGTAGGCCCTAAATTTTACCTACGATATAGGTAATTCCCAGCAAACAAAAAATGTGACAACTTTTTGATAAATTACTTCCTCGAAAATGATAGTCATTTAACTTACAGACAACAGCTGCTGATCGAGATAAAAACTAGAAAGTACTGACTGATATTTTCTGAAAAATAATACTCTTAGTTATTGGGGATGAAAAAGTTGACGTCCATAAGGACCTGTAGAAAACAAAACTTGTGGGTCCGAGTGCTTTTCAGTCAGCTTCAGGCCTAAGGACCGACGTTAAGTTCGAACGCTGGGGCAGACTGAGGTTAAACGCTGCAATCAAGATCATGCCACAGTTTGACTCTGGCACTTGACACTGACTCTGAACCTGCCAGTCCCTCTTTGTTCCCTGGGACTATGGAACTGGATGCACCAGGCAGAGTAATAACAAGTACCATCAGGGCTGTTCCTTAAAATCTTGTCAAGCACAACATATTGGTTTGTTTGTTGTTTAACGCCGCACTCAGCAATATTCCAGCTATATGGCGGTGGTCTGTAATTAATCGAGCCTGGACCAGACAATCCAGTGATCAACATCATGATTACTTACAGACCACCGCCTTATAATGACCTTACATGAGGCTAACGGTTCTCTCACATTGTGACCTATCTGTAACATGAGGCTAAGCAATTCACTCACTCACTCTGTGACCTATCTGTAACATGAGGCTAACGGTTCTCTCACTCTGTGTCCTATCTGTAACATGTGGCTAAGCAATTCACTCACTCACTCTGTGACCTATCTGTAACATGAGGCTAAGCAATTCACTCACTCACTCTGTGACCTATCTGTAACATGAGGCTAACGGTTCTCTTACTCTGTGTCCTATCTGTAACATGTGGCTAAGCAATTCACTCACTCACTCTGTGACCTATCTGTAACATGAGGCTAAGCAATTCACTCACTCACTCTGTGTCCTATCTGTAACATGTGGCTAAGCAATTCACTCACTCACTCTGTGACCTATCTGTAACATGTGGCTAAGCAATTCACTCACTCACTCTGTGACCTATCTGTAACATAAGAGGCTAAGCAATTCACTCACTCTGTGACCTGTCTGTAACATGAGGCTAAGTAATTCACTCACTCACTCACTCTGTGACCTATCTGTAACATAAGAGGCTAAGCAATTCACTCACTCACTCACTCACTCTGTGACCTATCTGTAACATGAGGCTTAGTAATTCACTCACTCACTCACTCTGTGACCTATCTGTAACATGAGGCTTAGTAATTCACTCACTCACTCACTCTGTGACCTATCTGTAACATGAGGCTAAGTAATTCACTCACTCACTCACTCTGTGACCTATCTGTAACATGAGGCTAAGTAATTCACTCACTCACTCACTCACTCTGTGACCTATCTGTAACATGAGGCTTAGTAATTCACTCACTCACTCACTCTGTGACCTATCTGTAACATGAGGCTAAGTAATTCACTCACTCACTCTGACCTACCTGTAACATGAGAGGCTCTGTGTTGACCATACTGATGTACCACAGCTGAACCTTATCCCTGAAATATATTTCATTCTTCTTCGTCCGCTCCTTGTAATAATGCCACATGCGATCCAACAGTCGGTAGGACCCACACGTAAACATGGATGCCTCTCCCTTCAAAATTTCTGGCTGAATCGGACCTCTCTTCAACGCCTCGGCAGTATTTGTGATATATATAATCCTGGGAATATCACAACCAGCAGGCCGGTTGCCTTCAGAACAGATTTTATCATCGATTGTTTGGATTTCACTATCGTGACCTAATTTCTTGATGACCACACTGTTCAAGTCCTGATGATCAGCTAAGTGAACATTCTTCACATTCACCCTGTCAAGGAATCGCAACTTCGACCACCCTTTAAACTTGACCCGATCGTAAAAGAACTGACCACATGCACTCATGCCATAACAGGCTGGACACTTGTCAGTTTCCAGGAAGTTTTCATCCATCAAATCATTCTTGAAAAAACTTCTGATGATCAGACCGTAAAATAGCACAGATACAACCAGGGAGGAAGCAAATAAAATTTTGGCCCGTGTCGGTAATTTCTTGAATTTTAGCGCCGAGTCGTGCACGGCTCTTTCCAGGTTTGCCATTCCCTGTTCCTTGTACTGCTTGGTGTACCGGCTCCTCACATTGCTTGGTGTTGGGAGCATGGTGCTGCGAGGCTTGACTGCGTGTAGTTACGATCCCGTGTTCTCATTCCCCAAGATAAATATTTCAAATCTGAAACAATTTTCAAGAAAATCTAAAGTTTGTGAAGATTAGAACAAACCATTAAGTTGTCATGCATTAGCGTCATGTGACAGAATGTCATGACACCTCATACACGACCACCACTGTATCTTCCAATATGTAATGTATCTTTCAAGAGAAAATTACACTGTACCCTGGATGTCTTGACTCTAAACTCCATTTACATAACTGCCATTTATTACCAGGGACTGTTCTTGGGGGATCAGGTCAAAAGGGCCACTATTATTACTACATATTGATACAAATATAATAAAACATATAAAATATATATTAGTTTTTTATTTTGGCCCTGTTTCTTTGGCCCTTTAGACTACAACTCGTCCTAGGCTCCCATATGGAAGTCATTTGATTCCCTCTCTTTTAATGGAGACATATGCATGAAATGTGGTGTCATTTTGAAAATCAAAATTTATGCTAGAAAATTAATTCACTGATTCAGAAGTGACCTTCACTATGAGAAGCCTTCTAGATTAACCAAAGGCACTCATGAAAGACAAAGAGTCAGGTCTCAAGTTGATCTGACCTAGTACATTCTTATAATTGTACTGTACAGTGTACTGGCTAGCGAACAGTTATCGCCGCATAACAGTTATCGCCAATACATCGGTATCACTCGTGCGCAGTTCCGGACAATTCCAATTCCGGTATTTTCCCCCAATAAGGGACAGCAAAAGAAAATTCTTCATGGCAAGTAAAATAAGAGAAAAATTAAAGTAAAAGTTATGAACCCTATATTTTTTTTAAAACTTAGTTGGGGGGATGTCCCACGACCTATACAATAGCAAGTTCAAGTTCACAAGTCATTAATTGATTCATTCCCTATCAATCTACTGTAAAAGAAACACTCAAATAGTCACACAATCAATTATTCGAGGTTACTGTATGATATATATTATTATTTATATATTATTTCACGAATGGCATGAGAAATTCTGAAAGGCGATAACTGTTACTGTAAGTTGTGAGAAAACCGTCGCCTTATATAAAAACATGATCGGCGGCAGTGAACGTACAGGCTAGACACATCGTTGTTCATATGAATGAACTCATATTCCAGCGAAGGCCTACATCGAGCACACCTTGGTATAGTGCAAAGTCGTCTAGTTATATGCTGGACTAGACACATCGGTGTATAGCTAATTAAGTATTATAATTCATTCTGTTTCATTAATTTAACAAACGGGGGAGTAATTTTGTAAATACCACTAAAATATGGCAATAACTGTTCACTAGCCAGTACAGTTGTTGCAGTGTTAGGAAGTAAGTCTTGCCTCTGCTCATATTATTCTCGTGTTATGTCATTGCTGTCTCTAGAATGGTTGAATCATGGTCCCTGGCGGATTGAGAGGAGTAGCCGAATCCACCATCTTTTCTCACACATCTCTAATATGCTAACTGTAATCTGGGCCCAAACACTTCACGACTTGGGTGTAACCTCTTTGGTGTAACCTGCACCCCCAAACTATTTCAAAATTCTCGATCCACCTTTCACTATCACGGCCCCAGTATTACTCGTGCAGATCAATTCTAGAAATAGTCCAGCATGTAACTAGACGACTTTGCACTATACCAAGATGTGCTCGACGTAGGCCTTGGCTGGAATTGGAGTTTATTCATATGAACTATTCTAGAAATGGATTACTGCCATAAGACACGCACCTGTTGTTTCAAAAACTGCTCAGGGGAATGTAACCTGTACACTCAACGGGTAACCCACACAACCATGTCCATTACCTATAACAACTGATCGATCCCTCAACCGAACTGAAGTGTTCCGCGTTTACGATTATATAGACACTTACCGCCTATCACTACATATCAGTGCGAGAACAAACAGAAAGGGTGGACAATGGACATACAACTGTTACAAATCATGACACTTACATTCGATGTGTTTGTGCATGTGAGACAGAAATGATATAAAATGACAACCCTGCTTCGCTGTTTCAACTTGCTCGAGCCATGTTTACTGTAACTTCCGTATTTAGAGTGATCTCCCCCTGCTGTACATGTCACTACAGACATTTTATGAATGCTTCGTTTCTCATTCATCACTGGAAAACACTGAGGTTCTTGGTAGGCATATAGAAGTTGGTATGCAAGTATAAGACAAAATATTATGGATGTCAACTTCTCCTTTATAGAAGACAAATACTGTTTAATCGTGAAGCTGGGCGTGGAGTCTTCCAGAGAATGCATAATTATCTTGGAATTTGCTGACAGAATTTTCCCCCTTTGGTCATGTGGACAAGGTATCCGACTTCGAAACAGAAGGCCCGTGGTTCGAATCCCTATATGCATGTCTGAAGTTTATGGTCACTACAGTTGAGTTGAGTTTTATGTCGCATCGGCATTATCTCAGCCATACAGCGTCGAGACCAAGTCTGCATATATGGACATTTATTTCCTCGGAGATATTGCTTGATCTGACCCAAGTGATTTATCCTGTGAAAACCAGTGTGTTTTACATACAAAACAAGAATATATTATGCGACCAAATCGCCCGCCATGAACCCTATCACACGTTAACAGGTCCCATGCAACAATGTCTGCTTGTTCAATAACAAGCTTTATTACCTACGAGGGCGAACATATCGGGGTTCATAGTTTTCATACGATGCCCTAGGGCAAAATATCACTTTGTCATGGTGACGTGACGTCATGAACAATGCTATGACGTCACGTTTCTTCTGTGACGTTGCGTTCTACATACGGCGACGGCGGGTAGCCAGCCTGTGTTTGAAAGTAGATTTTGGGTTTATTTTCCTCAATCCGACGACTTCGGTAATAAACAGAATATTATATTCGTGCCCATATCATGCCTATTATTTTTACGACACTCCAACCAACATTTAGGCACTCGTGTCGTGAACATAGTATGACATGGGCACTCATATAATATCCTCTATATATTGCCTATTACCTTTCAAATAGGTTAGACATGCATTCATCGACGTGAATGTGTCATTTTACCTAACCGTGTCTTCGCTTTGTGGCCACTCTATGAGGAACGGGACAGTTGACCCAAGCAGCTAGTTCTCATACACAACTTCTGAAATCAAATTATGCCTCGAACATCGATTATGTTAGGATTAACATGATGCAGACATTATAAAGAGTTCTGGTGTTTCCTCGTGGAAGATAATTCTATAAATGAGTGAGTATGGTTTTACGCCGCTTTGAGCAATATTCCAGCAATAGCACGGCTGGGGACAACAGAAATGGGATTCATACAATGTAACCATGTGGGGAATCGAACCCGGTTCTTCGCGTGACAAGCGGACGCTTTAACCACTAGGTTACCCCACCGCCAAATACAATATATGAAGGACACGGAATATGTATGAGTCTGAGTATGGTATTTTCTTTATTAGACGCCCGGTCGTCTATAAATTTCGAGCAATTCATTGACCCGGCGCCTAAAACATTCAGGCACATTCTTTGCCTACCACCTCCGTGGTGTAGTGGTTAGAGCGTCCGCCCGGAGAGCGGAAGGTCGCGGGTTCGATCCCCGACCGCGTCATACCAAAAGACGTTAAAATATGGTACTTGTTGGTCCCTGCCTGGCGCTCGGCATTAATGGGTACAACAAGGACTGGTCGGCTCGGAGTCAGTATAATGTGTCTGAGTGGGGTATTAATGCTTCACTGCGGCGTGGTATCTCAGTGGGCTAGCACTATAAAACCAGCTTAAGTCTGGTCTAGTACAAGCAGCCGCACATACACATACACACGCATGCACGTCGTCATATGAGCGAAATATTCTCAAGCACGACGTTAAACCCAATTTCTCCTCACCCATTCTTTGCCTAAAAGAGTCAAAATGGTTCTATGCCGCTTTTAGCAATATTCCAGCAGAGGTCACCGGAAGAGGACTTGACACTCTGTACACATGTGGGGAATGTAACTCGGATCTTCGACACGTAAACGAAACTGTGGTGTTTAGAAGTGTTTTGCAGACATAGTGCATTGGCATCACTGATGACGATACCGCCATTCAAAGTGTGTAACTGAGTGAAAATTCTATACATAGCCTCATAGGTTCGACAATATTGCAGTTAAACAGTCATTATATATACTCACGTTCAAACATAAACTCAGTGAAGCTGCAAACACCCTGTATTTTGCGCTGCGCATTTATCAACGGAAGTCGATAGTCACACATACTATCGATGAATTGCTATCGGAGACTCAACGATTGCAATCCATCGATAGTTTCATGCATTGTTACAGCCCTATTAGTAGGGTTGCGCAATATAACCGGTTTACTGGTATTTACCGGTTCAGACATGAAAACGATACGTATTGCGATACGCTGGTTGAAAACCGGTATTTTGACTTGCATTCGGAAAACTTCGTAACACTCGGAAATCTTCGGATATTTCCTTGTTTCATTTGTGCCAAATATTCTTCACATTTTTATTTTATCATTATTAAAAGTTGTTATTAAAGCTTAATCAAGCATAGTGATTTTGTTGTGTTTTTGCTCTATAAATCAAGCATTAACTCGCTTATAAGTAGTATTTTGTTTAAAAATACTTCAGGCAATATATTGCAATACATATCGCAATACATGATTTCGCATCGCAATATATTGCAATATGAAAATTCTGTGCAATACCCACCCCTATTAGTCATGTACATATCTCTCCGAACGCTCTCAACTCATTCGTGTGGAATGCCTACTGCGTTTTTTTCTATTGGTTACGCCGCACTCAGCAATATCCCAACTACAGACCCGTGCCAGATATATTCGGACACCTCATGTAATTTCCATATACTTACATGTTATTTCAGTGTAGCATAAATAATTTTCATGAAGTGAGTTTAGGATGGATCTTTGTAAAATTTGACAGGCAAATGTGAAATCATCTCTGATCTGCGCACATAATTTCAGTTTATTTTCCGACCACTATTTAACTAATGACAATATTCAATGCATTTGAACTAATATTGCAGTTTCACATGAACAGGTTAATGAACGGCGATTTGAAACCTTATAAGTAAAACTGATAATATTTAATGGATATGATTTATGTATGTTATGAAATGTTTATGCACACACATTTAAAGGAATTGTCTTGTTCATTGCACATTTTTGTGTCGTTTTAAAGAGAAAACAATTATGTATATTGATTGGCCAGGTGCGCGTTTGTCGGAAACGTTTTATGATTCACTATCATTGTTTTTTATAATATAATCAATTCATATTCGATTTAAAAATATTATTATGACAGGATATCAAACTCTAACTATATTTATAAGAAAATTGTTTAAAAATATATAAACCATGTCATGTCTTAATTTGGACAAATCTGACATCCATATTCTAATATACAGTTCTATATATAAAAAGCTATCTTTTTGCATCTTTCATTGCATACTTATGAAGAGAAATAGCTACATAATCATAAATAAATAAAATTCTTATCCTAAACAAAATATTCGGGTGTTGTGAAATATTATTTTTCATTTACGTTGGTTGAATTGATGCCAAACAGGTGCGCGTGTTGCTAACAATAAGATACACAGTCAAACTGTCTAATTGTTGATATATTCAGGACACTATTTAAATGGTAAAACCAGTCATTTTACGTTTTGTCTAAAGAGTGTTAATTCTGACGAAGAAGCCGAAACCGTTCACACAATTAATGGAAATTAGGTGAGATATATACTAATCAGCATACCGATGTCGTCTTTTTCCGACGTCGCAAAATGCATAAAACAAGCAATGACGTCAACTAAAATGTTGTATTATTTTCAGCAATTTCATTACATTTGAAGATATGGCTAGTATTCTGGTAATAACGATGCAAAATTAGTCAAAATACATATACACAAAAAGGAAAATATGGGAATCTAAGAACTAAGTTATATATCGGATAGGGCCATCCAAATCGCTATTACGTGCTTTCACATGTAGTACGTTGTCATCTTTTCTTATAAATTGTGAAACTAACAGAGCGTATCCGCTCACATTGGGGAACTTTGAATTGGAATAGTTTGGTTCACCGTGAACAAAAATTAACGAAAATATAGCGTCCGTATCCACAACAAATACTCTCCATGTGATCTGAGTTACATTGACCTAGTGTTACGCATAACGGACTTATGCCCCCTTATCATTATACGTGTATGACCTCTCTGTCGTCGTTTGACGTCGTAGAAGAAAATCCATTTTTGACATTTATTGCGAGTCATTTTTAATGTTGAGCGTATAAGTTATGCATAAGCACATAAATCCAATTCATATACACTTATGTCGTTCAGATATCAGGCTGTATTTTCTTCGCTCACACTTTCCGAAAAGATGCCAAAATACAAAATTCGTAGCACAGTGCATTTATCGGTGAGCGATAAAAAGCGGAGAACTTTACTGTTTTCTAACGCATAACAAAAATTTTGACAACATTTAGCAAGATCTGTTTCTTAAACCGCAGAGGGAGTTGCACTTATATTTAGACCAACGGATAGGAAATTTAGTATTCTACATTCCTGTGTAATTTTATAGCCGTACGTAGATCCAGGACCACGCGAGCGCAATTCTCGCACAACGTTCACTTTTCAAAGCGTATGAAAATGTGCGCCTGAAAAAAACCTCGGCATCAAGGGGGTTAAGCAACGTTGGGCTTGGGCGCGGAGAGTCCTTGGATGAGTGACCGTGTTTGGCAGCTTGACTTCTGAGAGTTACTAGGACTTCAGTCCTGCCCCACAACGAAGCACATGTGATACATGTGGTCTCACCTTAGGCAAGTGGATTTGTGAAAACTTGCCTCTGTTCACCCAGCAGAAAATGGGTACCCGGTGGAATAAGTCATGTGACTATTAATCTTCTTGCGCCTCACAAGCAGTTTGGGTTATCCAGGGTAATAATATTCATATTCTTTAGTGCTTTGAGCATGCCTTAGAGTATGGAATAGGTGCATTAAACATTGCATTAAAACGTTGACGCCATGTTCACATGGAACATATGTTGGGAGTACACCCTTTTAGTTGGAGATGCGTGATTACCCACTTGCACAAGGCAATCGTGGCAGTGGGGTCCACTTTCATCAACAGAGTATACCTACACACCTTTATACCGGAACGTGAAGATCCGGGTTAAAATTGATCGTCAGTAACCCATGCTTGTCGTAAAACGATCGGTTGGTCAGACTCGTTGACTTGGTCGACACCGTATCCCAGGGCCTAGATTTTCGAAGCTCTCTTAGTGCTAAGATAGTCGTAAGTTAATGTTAATGTATGGCACTGACGACTATCTTAGCGCTAAGAGAGCTTCGAAAATCTAGGCCCAGTGGCGTAGATCAATGCTAAAGCTTGTGATCACTGGATAGTCTGGTCCAGACTCGATTATTTACAGACCGCCGCCATAGCTGGAATATTGCTGAGTGCGGCATTAAACAACAAACACACGTTTATACCTGACACACATATGCTGCCCAGTTGTGCATTTAGTTTGAATGCAGCATGGAAATATTGCACAAAGTGCAAGCAAACTGTTAAGAGATTACTGTACATCATTTACAGGAAGGCCCAGAACGTACATTACACCTTACATATGTCCATCTCCTTGTTATGTTAACCCGTACTAGTGAAACGTGAGTGGGCGAGTTGGCCTGCAGAAGGGGCATTGGGGTTGGCTAGTTGGAATATTGCTGAGTGCAGCGTTCAAAAAGAAACAAACCAATTTAAACATTATTTGATGAGTTCGTATGAGGTGAGGGGCGTTGGGGTAGTCTAGTGGTTAGAGCGTTCGCTCGTCACGCTGAAGACCCGGGTTCGATTCCACACTTGGGCACAATGTGTGAAGCCCATTTCTGGTTTCGCCTGTGGTGATATTGCTGGAATACTGCTAAAATCGGTGCAAAATATTGAGAAATGTCAATTGCTTCTTATTTGTTAAAATATTCGGATGTCAGATTGTGAAGAATAGGATCCAATTTTGTGTTTCAAGTTTGACATGTTGGTTTGAACAGACTTATGTCACCGCGTGGCCCACGTTTCATGAGTGCCACGTTAAACCTCATTTCACCTCACCTTATCTTTGACATGTGAAGATGTAGGAAGTGAGGTGAAATTGGGTTTAACGTCGTGCTTGAGAATATTTTGCTCATATGACGACGTGCATGCGTGTGTATGTGTATGTGCGGCTGCTTGTACTAGCCCAGACTGAAGCTGGTTTTATAGTGCTAGCCCACTGAGATACCATGCCGCAGTGAAGCATGAATACCCCACTGACACATTATACTGACTCCGAGCCGACCAGTCCTTGTTGTACCCATTAATGCCGAGCGCCAGGCAGGGACCAACAAGTACCATATTTTAACGTCTTTTGGTATGACGCGGTCGAGGATCGAACCCGCGACCTTCCGCTCTCCGGGCGGACGCTCTAACCACTACACCACGGAGGCGGTCGTGAAGACGTAAGACATTCAGTGATGTCATACAGTGTTGGATGACATTCTCAGTTTCCACAACAAACGCCTTGAACTAATCAGACCATTTATTGGCCAGGAAGAAAAATACTCATTTAATATCAAACAAATGTCATATCATACAAATAAATTTGCACACAAAATCAAAATACTGTGAACCTAATTAAAACAGAGTGACACAGCTTGACTGAACAGACAATTGTTTTCTGTGAAAAGAGAAACTGCTATTCATGGTATCAGCTCTTCGTAGAGTAAATACTACAAGGCAATAAATACAAATTGCAATTACGCTGCGCAGTTTGTTGTAAAGTGGTACTGACAGTTAAATGGCAAGGCAATTACATATCGTATATAAACCTAGGCATTACATTGTACAATTTTATACCCATGTAATATGAGGTTTATCTCCATTAACGGATGGAATAAACGAAACAAGTACATGTACACTCCTGTTGGCAGCATTTTGTACCTTACATTTCCCCTTTTATTATTCTATAAGGATAACACCCTTTTTTAATTTCTTGAGTGGTGTTGTTTTTTAATATAATACCGATGGTAGTCAAATTAAACCATCTTAAAAATGAACCGTGAACAGTTCTTGGTTGCTTGGGAATTAGAAATATGGAATAGAAAAACTGAGAAAAAAACAAACTTGAGCTCCAGAGGCAATAAATTGACAGAGTCAGAGAGGAAAATGTTTTCAACATTGTGGGTTTGTGATAAATAATTTTGGAAGTATAATAGTTCATGTATTCAGCTATAAAGTGATATTAAATCAACACTTGGTCTTTTCTTTGAAAAGTCTCAAGTTGAAACTAATGAATCACTTCACGAACAGAAACTTGTACAATTTCTCCAGTGAATATTTCAAGCTGTTCTTTCACGGGTGTCAAATGAATAAAGCCATAATTTGTGACTTGACTTAAATACCACTTTTTAAAAATGTTTTAGAGATATCACCAGCTTGACAGAACAAGTGATGAATGTCTCAAGACATTTACAAACTATGAGTTGTCAAAATCAAGAATCATAAACAGGTAAAATCTACGATTCAAACCTATAATGACAGGATTCTGGCATTTCAAAGGGAGGTAAGTAAATAGGGTTCGTGGATAAAGTAATTTAAGTACTGCACTCAGGCTTTGCTGTTATTCCATAAGTCCACCAAATCCTTTCTTGGGTGAAAAGACAGCCAGACAATATGGTTTCTTTCTTGACATATATTCTAGTTCTGATCCCAAAACAAAATTTATTAAAATAATGATCTTAAACATACTCTTGAAAAAATGACCGAAAGCTTTTTTCATACCTTAGAAAATTTAGTGCAGTGTCTCGGAGACAGGTGTTGGCTTCATCACATCAAATTGCACAATCTGTCATAAAGTGAACAATACCAAAATAACAAAATAATACATCAATTAACAGAATAAATACAATGGTAATCTAAAATCACTTTAATACCCAAATAAAATGATGAAAGCAGCAATGATATTGCAATAAATATTCGTCTGCAATGACCCTGGCAAGAGCTATGTAAAATAAGATGAAAGCCCAGTAACACACCAGCCATGGTATACAGATGATAGGTATGTACATGTGTTAATGCAAGGGGGGATAACTCTGGGTCTGTGCCCCAATAAACTACTCGGCATACAACAGCCCACAATGGAAGAACTAAAATGTCATAGAAATGTATTCATACCATAAACTTTCAAGGTTTGTTTGTCATGTAACACCACAGTAACGATCCTGAATAAAAGTATAATATTTGTTTCGATACACAATCATATTTATCCGGGTAAAATGCTTTGAGGCAAAATATTATGGAACTGGTTTCTAGGTAAATGTTCTCTAGAGTGTGAAGCAGTGGGATATATTTTTTCAGCTTTGAAAATATTGTAAATTTTAAAACATTTTTCATCTTATCCCTGTGAAATACACCTAGGACATAATTTATCATAGTATTTCAAAGTGCTATATTGAATGCCAAATTGGATTTGAACCAAATATCAGAGGGTTGGGACACCCAAGGGACACAACTCTGCATTGACTGACAGCAACCAGCTCCAATACAGTATAAAGAAATACATGACATAGATCACATATTAAATTCATATTTAAAGTGATTCTCAAGTCCAGCAAATGTTATATTTCACAGAATATCAGTACAGTTTATGACTAGCTGAAATGTATCGAGGAGATACAGTACATACAAGCATCTACATTTCAATGAAACAAGCCACTTAAATCATAAATAAAAAAATTCCTATCTATTTACATGTATGTATATCTAAGTTGTAGTACATTTTGCTTTTTACAAAACCACAGGCATGACATAAAACAGAAGGCAACATTATTCTGGTTACCATGGTTACAGATGGATAGCAAGAAAATAATTAGGCACTCACCAACTCTGGGAAATATTTCCCCATGCTGAAGGTATTTATTCCTGACAATTTGCCTCTATGTAACTAGTATTCAGGGGACTGCTGAAAACCCTGGATTGGTCTTACATAGGTTAGTACATCAACACAATTATACAAACACAATAACTTGAAACTATTTTCTAGATGCCATATGACCATTATATTATATTTGTTGGATCAACCCTAATTTCTGAAAGAAAAATGTAAAATCTAAAATTGACACTTTTTGTAATTACATAGAAACGGCAACTATGCATGAATACTTTGTAATTTTTGAGAATATACAACATTTAAAAAAAGTTCTGTTCATCTGCATATAATTTTCAATTTGACATTAAATTTTCTCCAAATCCATCATAGCTGATATATCTAGAGGTCTGCATTCTGTACTTGATGCAAAGATTACCTCCCTTAGTCTTTATTTTGTGTATTTAGAATTTGAAAAACAAATCAAAGGTAAATGTTGTGACTGTTACTTTTTTATTTAAATTTTTTTTCCAACTCTCACGTATGCAGAAAATATATAAATATATAACCCAACAAATATATTAACATTAACAGTTTTATAAGATGGCAGTAACTGCACGAAGAAGCTGTAACACCTAGCACTAGAGGCTGCAGTTGACAATGATGTCCCGTAAGTCTCGTGAGGCGCTGCTTCCAGTATTAAGCTGGCTCCCATGTTCCTTTGCATACGCCAGCTTGCGATATGTAAGACGGGGCTCAGCTTACTTCCGGTGACAAGCGAATATTCAAGACTCAGTTCTGGTTCCAACTTGCGCAGCCACCAATTACATGCATGATCTTACTAGACTGGTCCAAGTGTACAACATGCTTGGGCTGCGCAATATAACCGGTTTAACGGTATTTACCGGTTCAGACATGAAAACGATACGTATTGCGATATGCTGATCGAAAACCGGTATTTTGACTTGCATTCGGAAGGCTTTGTAACACTCGGAAATCTTCCGATATTTCCAAATATTATTCACATTTCCATTTTATCATGATTAAAAGTTGTTCTTAAAGCTTAACCAAGATAGTGGTTTTGCTGTGATTTTTGCTCTATAAATCAAGCATTAACTCAGTTATAAGTAGTTTATTTATTTAAAAATACTTCAGGCAATATATTGCAATACATATCGCAATACATGCTTTCGCATCGCAATATATCGCAATATGAAAATTCTCTGCAATACCCACCCCTATGCTTGGCTGTCACAGCTGTTGACAGTCATAACAATTGGCTAATTTGGGGATGGTTAGATTTGAAATCTGTTATTCCTGCAATGATTATCAGTTCCTTACTGTCAACTGACAACCATGAGACCATTTGAAAAGGCATGAAATGTTGTTTATCACCGGAAGTAGAGCGGTTTTGCGAAGTGCCGTGACCTACTTACGGCCCTATTCTACCCTGAGAAAAGGAATGGATAATAACATTGCACAAAGTATTTATATACATCTCAACTTTTGATAGGGATATCATTGTTTTCCATGATATACAACTGATTTGCATTTTGAAGTGTACATCTGATATGACATCTCATTATCCCTACCAAAAGTTGAGTGGTATTTATAGGCCCATATTTACCTGAAATAATATGGAACGTGTGACTTGTAAGAGTAACGGGACTGACAATAAATTCTGAACCTTATTAAACTTTGAAATGACACATTTTTTAAGTTAACTTAAATGAAAAAGAAATTTAATATGATTTCCTAATTTCAATTTGCATGATGTACATTTTTGTTAATTTTGGTTCTAAAAGGTGAAAAATATTTTGATATAGTTATTAGAAGGAAATATATGCCAGTCATACTTTAAAAGGTTATTCACACCTGACAACATGGGTAATATGGAATGAAATACTCCTGGTGATGTTGAATACAACATATAATACGACTATATATCCACCCGGTAAGTAGATCATCTCGTCTCCAACAGAGATGATACATGGCTTTTAAGTCATGAAGGGATAAAACTCTGCATACCCAGCACCAACACAGGCTGGTTTCACGTGAAACAATACTCTTGCTGTCATCTCCATTTTCAATTTTATTGACCTTAGCGTGTAAGCTTGGGATGTGACTTTTGCGTCTTGAGTGAGTGAGTGAGTGAGCTTAGGTTTATGCCGCTTTTAGCAATATTCCAGCTATGTCCGGCGGGGGACACCAGAAATGGGCTTCACACATTATACCCATGTGGTGAATCGAACCCGGGTCTTCGGCGTGACGAGTGAGTGCTTCAACCACTAGGCTACCCCACCACCCCACCAACCCTCCTTCGGAGGAAACAAGTCCTGTATTTCCTACTTTGTTTCTTTACTTGATGTCATACAACATAGCCCCACAGAACATTCACACTTCCCGTCAGTCACACACTGCAACACACAGAGGATTTCTACATTTTTTAAAATTAAAAATATAATATAAAGTAAAAGGCCTCTTCACAGTTTTCATAATATGGATGAAAATCGAATAATTAATTTCTCAAGGCAGAAGATATGTGTTCCTTTTCAAACAATTCTTGCGGAAGTTTCACTTTCAGTAAAAACACATTAAAGTAACCAACATTGTTACATCTTCCTCTTGCTTCTTCCTTGCGATCATATTCAACACATGCCTAATGAACCCTTCATAATTTATGGCTAGGGGTGGTGGTGATGATTATATGGAGAAGCATGGACAATGTGAATGACCCCCCCTAAAATTATTGTACAAAATCAATGACCCCCCTCCCCTTCCCATAATTTCTAAGCATAATTTTAAACATACTGTTATGTACAAAATTGCTGACCCACTAGTACGTGTGTACAAAATAGCTGACCCCTCCTAACTCCCCAGAACAAAATGGGTGAGCCCCCTTAAAATCATCATCACCCCCCTAGCCATAAATTATGAACGGTCCCCAATGAAGAATGAAAACATATCGTATGTAACCTGATTACTGTAAGCCCCATAACCTCTACCCTCCCCAACTACAGCTATATATGAACTCACTTCAACAGAATCTAAATGATTCAGGGAACTTCATTCAGTAAGATACCCATATCATTGTGATGCTCTGTATCGTTAGTGAATGGTTAAACCTCACGAGAAAATTAAAACTATAAACCAATTCCATAACACAGGTGCCACTGTCCTCACAGAACATCTTTGCTTCCTATTATTTGAATTCTTGGAGTGACTGAGTTTGGTTTTACGCCGCTTTTAGCAATATTCCAGCAACATCACGGCAGGGGACACCAGAAATGGGCTTCACACGTTGTAACCATGTGAGGAATCGAACCCGGGTCTTCAGTGTGACGAGCAAATGCTTTAACCACTAGGCTACCCCACAGCCCTTGAATTCTTGGATGCTCGTCAGATAAGATAAAAAAGATGAAATATATACAAAACTTCAAATACATATTCTAAAGTGCTAATTTCACCAACATATTGATGCTTGGTAAAGTTAAGGCCATGAGGAATTGACTGCCACAAGTTTCTGAAAAATTATTGTGAACATCCTCAGTTGTCAGCTATATCAAGACTGCAACAATACCTTGAACCAGAAACAACCAATCAGATAACAGTATTCAAATCCTCCAGCCAATCAAATGGCTGTGACCACCTTTTTCATATGGTGTCCAGTGAAACAACCAATCAGATAACACTATCCAAATCCTCCAGCCAATCAAACGACGGGTGAAACCAGAAATGGACTTCACAGATTGTACCCATGTGGGGAATTGAACCCGGATCTTCGGCGTGACAAGCGAATGCTTAAACCACTAGGCTACCCCGCCACCCCCAAAACGTTGTCAGTACCTCAGTGCTACACACCATCACCAAATACATGTCAACAATTAGGTGTTGTCATATTTTGACATCAACCCTGGTCTCAACTGAGAAACAGGAATCAACGAGTGTTCAGATGAAATCAGAAATATTTCACACAGAAAATGTGCCCCCCTGCCTTATGGCCACCATTATTTTCGATATTTTCAAAACTTTAATAATTAGGCCCGGACAAATCCTGATTGTGTTTTTACTACAGGTCATGTTGGAGACAGCCTCCAGAAAAATTGACGGCAATGATTGAGTATCTTACGATAATCATTATATGATTGAAGGTAATGATTTAATGATTGACAGTAATGATTGACTTAATGATCTTATGATTGACAGGTAGTGATTTAGTGATTGCTGTTATTGATTTAGTAATTGATGGAAATGATTTAGTATCTGACAGGAATGATTTTATGATTGATGGTAACGGTCTTATGACTGACGGTAATGATTTAATTATTGATGGAAATGGCTTAGTGAATGATTTTAATGATTTTATGATTGCCAAGCGTATTACAAAAACAATAATAGTTAATAGCATAGGCAAAATGAGCCTCAAATGAGAACATTTGAATGCCACAGCATCAGCTCCGATATAAATAGTATAGCCTGCCTAAGTAAATAATACAACTAGATATGAAAAATGTACACATACACCAACCTCATTGCACAAAACTGATGATAAAAATCATTCAACCATATACAAAATACGTTATGACTAAAATCACACACAGATTATCGCATATAACTTCAATACAAATCATGGAAAGTCTTTTGCTGACAAAAAGAATGAGATCACTCACATTCCCCTCAAGACACACTTCATACAAGAAAAATTGGTTGACAAATTATTTTTTCAAAGTTGTAGGACAGGACCATTTTTATTTTATTTAAAAAAAAATATACTTGCTCCAAATCTTCTTGTTTTATTATGACCACATTGACTTAGAGATTTCAACTGCTTTACTCTTTCAATGTTCTGATTCAGAAGTTAGTTCTTCTGACGATGGTCTGGCCTTGTGAAGAGGTAAAGAACAAATAACAAAGCATGCACACACACAATACTCGCTCTCAGTAAAGATAAATAAAAAATTAATATTTTTCACAATATATCTTTTTTCCAGTAATACTAATAGTACAACTAATTGCAATCATTCATATAAAAGTAAATATACAGCCCTGTAAAAAGTACAATAGTGAATGTTCCTCAAAGTACCTGGTTACCTAGGTAACAAGATGAAAATAATTGCTGCATCTGCCCTCTTTTCATAGAATTGTGTCCATTAAAATCAGGATATAACTTCCGATAATATGACTAGCAGATGTAAAATACCTGCCATTACTGTAGGCCCTTTCTCTTCCTGACTAATTTTGCAAGCTATTCTTTCGTTTTAGTTATATGATTTATCAATAAACATTTAAGGCATTTCTTATGCTTTCTTTTGAAATTTAAAATTTCACTGTATTTGGTGCACTGTCTGTAACAGAGATCTTTTCAAAATTTGAATTCAGGAATTACTAGTATACTAAAATGTGTTATGTAGATTGTTTCTGCGGGATATTATATTTTTTGTAACGACCCTGCATGTGCATTGAGCCAAGGTTGGAATGACGGGGAGTATCCTCTCATAAAGCACATCACATACTCATGGGGCCTTGTAAGATGGTTAGGACCTTCTTTAGCTTGTGATGAACTTCAACAGATGAGTGGTCAGCCAAGAGTGAGAAGTCCAAGCCACCATGTCATATTTACATAAAATGTCAGATAACTGCAGAATATACTCTGCATGAAAATATCTTATTATGCCAAACATGAAATGAATATTCTCCTACCCCTGGTTCACAAATTACTAGACCCGTGAAGGTCCGTTTCAGAATATTGATTTTCAGTAACCCATGCTTGTCGTAAGAGGCGACTAACGGGATCGGGTGGTCAGGCTAGCTGACTTGGTTGACACATGTCATCGGTTCCCAGTTGCGCAGATCGATGCTCATGCTGTTGATCACTGGATTGTCTAGTCCAGACTCGATTATTTACAGACTGCCGCCATATAGCTGGAATATTGCTGAGTGTGGCTTAAAACTAAACTCACTCACTCACAAATTACTAAATTCCAACCCACACCATCTCTGACAACAAAGTGTATGTTACCATTCTGATGCCATAAATATTTTGTAGTGAGTGCGTGTGGTTATATACTGCTTTCAGCAATACTCCAATAATATCACAGCAGGGGACACCAGAAATAGGCTTCAAACATTGTCCCAACCCAGGGTTTGGTTTAGTTGTAGTTTAACACCACACTCTGCAATATTCCAGCTATCTGGTGGCGATCTGTAAATAATCGAGTCTGGACCAGACAATCCAATGATCAACAGCATGAGCATCGATCTACACAATTGTACAATGCAGGGAATCAAACCTTGGTGTTAAGCGGGACTAGTGAAGGCTTCAACTACAAAGCTACCCACTGTCATATATACCAGTCCTACTCGTCACCATAGCTGTCCACTAAAACTCTGCTCAGGAACACAATGTTAGCAGAAATGGAGAAGATGATGGTACCAGGGTTCTTGATAATGGAATTGATAAAATACCCTGTATAACTGAGGATGGGTTATGTGTCCCTGTATGTGAAAGGGGGAAATGGTTGACTAAGCATCAATTATATTGTCAGTGTGGTGTGTATGTTTGATATCACCAGGCATTTAACTCACAGCAATAAGGACACGATTTTACTTCACGGGACAATAAAATATCGTAAGAAGGAATGCTCATTGTTTAAGAGGGAAATTTAACTGAAAATATATCAACGAATAATGACTTTATACAAAATGTTTCATGACCTGATAATCTCCTTCACTCATATTTTGTGTGGCTGTCGATCTATGTATGAGGAGTTATCTCCCTTCCTACCACAGCCTGTGAAACATTGTGATTGGTTAACTACATTAGAGGCCACTGTAGGTTCCCTGTTGATCTTATTCCTGGGATTTGTGTTATATCTATCAAATTTTTATGATGCATCTATGTATCTATTTTTCTATCTATCAGAGTTAATGAACATCTGTATCTATTAACGTTATTTTAATCAGCATCAGGAGGATTAGTATCTCTTGGAGATCATGATGCTGGATTTCCATCAGCGTTTACAAGGATTCGTATCATTCAGATATTACAAGTATGTGCATCAATCATAATTTACAGTGACAAGAATCTGTCAGAAATGTGTTCAATCCCTCTATATACCATAATAATAAAACCTTATCCGATCAATGACATAATTCAATGCAGTCAATGACAATTATACGATTCAAGTAATAATGTCCGGTTCACAAATGTCATGAAAAGCTGCTAGGATTCATTCCAGACAATAAACTTACATATGTCATACAATAGCAGAAACTGCAGCCAGTAAACTGTCATTATGATGCTGGTTACCATAGTAACAATACAATGTCAGCCATGTCAGAGACATGAGACATACAAAGCGATATTTCCTGAATATCCATTTAATATTGCAATGATATAAATATTATAATTGTAGTCTTCTTAACATCATCTATATACCATGTCGCCATTTTGGATATTTGAAGAATCAAATTATCCATATTCTTTCGCGATTGAGTTCTCAAATCAGTTTGAAAATTTGTAAGGCAACAGCTTCTTATAAGTCTTCATCCTCAATTTCTTCATATCGCAGCTCCGGTGAGAAGCGCCCCCTCTTGGTTGGGGGGCTGGAAGGTTCACTGGAGGACGGAGACGGAGAGTCATCGCGAGATGGACTTGATGTAGGGGACATTGCTCGGCCGATCCGAATCTTGCTCTCTTGAAACCAGTTGCTCTGTGAGTTAACAGTGCAAAGTAATTCTCAATTGCAAACATCTCAAAACACAGATGCCACACTTTCCAAGAATACCCAATAATCTCTACTACCGGAAGACTAGCCAGTGGTTACCTCCCTTGCCTGCCAATACCCAATGGTCAATCTCTACCTCCCCCAGAAAAGCCAGCAGTTTCCTCCCTTCCCTGCCAATACCAAATGGTCAATCTCTACCTCCCCTTGAATAGCCAGTGGTTAGCTCCCTTTCCTGTGAATACACAATGGCCAATCTCTACCTCCCCTTGAATAACCAGTGGTTACCTCCCTTTCCTGCCAAAACCCCAATGGTTAATCTCTACCTTCCCAAGAATAGCCAGTATTAATCTTCCTTTCCTGGCGATACCCAATGGTCATAATTCGTCATCATACATTAAGTTTTAGCGTACAGTGTTTGATGTTCCACGGCAAAGTGTCCTCACCAGTTTCCCATTGTTGCCAAACATGTCGAGAAAGCTGCCGATGAACTCCTTGGATTTCTCCTCCCATTTGTGGATGAGCTCGTTGCCCTTGTCGACCGACTCCTTCCATTTGTCGTAGAACTCCTTTCCTTTCTCTTTCACCTTCTCACCCATCTTCTCATAGTTGGCCTTGAAGATGATCCGCTTTTCCTGGAACAAAACTCTGTCACGTCACCACTGAGTCACAGACTTTTAGCTGTTAGTTTGTTGTTTTAACGCTGCACCCCACAAACTTACCCAACAGTCCTTAAATAATTCACTCTGGACCAGACAATCCAGTGATTGACATCCCAACCACCATTGTTTGGGTTAATTGTTGTTTAATGCTGCACTCAGAAATATTTCAGCTATATAACAGTCTGTAAACAATTGTGTCTCGACCAGACAATCCAGTGATCCATCATTATGAGCACTGATCTATGCAAATGGGATGACATGTGTCAGCCAAGTCAGCGTGTCTAACACCAGTTTGTTGCATCCTACATTAGTGAAGATCAGAATAGAATTGTTAGAATTGATCTTCAGTAACCCAACGGGATCGGGTGGTCAGGCTCGTTGACGCTCATCATCAGTTCCCAGTTGCGTAGATCAATTCTCATGCTGTTGATCATATAGCTGGAATATTGCTGAGTGAGATGTAAAACTATACTCACTCACTCACACTTACATGCACGGTGAGCCTATACTACAACTACCTTCATGAAGCCGATGTTGAGCTCCTTGGCTGTGTACCCTCTCTGGAGATTTCTCCTCACATACATGTCGTAGTCCTTGATAATCCTGGCTATCACATCCGTTGTGGAGATCCCTTCTGTCCTCTCTGTAGCCAGGAACCTAGAGCATACAGTCAGTGGGGTTTAACATCACTTTGTTTCAGTAATATCTGCAGTGTTCAAACTTACTGGCAAACAAGGATAAGTTGAGAACCGACCTGGCAATTGACCCATATTAGCATGTATGAGAGCCGCCCACTGGCGCTTGCCATTGTTAGTTAGCAAAGGGGCCCCAGGTTGTCCGCGATCAAGGGTGGTGCGACTTGCCACACTAACGTGAGAGTCTTATGAGCAAGGCGTGTTCAGGTACACGTGGAATCAATTTCATCGTCATGCACTGTATGTGCACTGCCTCCATCTGCTCTACCTTTCACAAACCAAATGGGTTTGCTCATTGCTGTGCATCGCCTACTTCTCATAAACGCGTTCTCTGCGCTGGTCCAACTTATCCTTGTTTGCCAGTAAGGGGGCCCTAGTTTTCTTGGTTTGCTTTGATAAGTTTTAAATTTAAGGACCACCTAAATCATTAATTTAGGTATTATGTCCCTTGACCTTGACCTTCAACCTTACTTTTGATCTCTGTAACCATGGTAACTGTATCATGGAAGAAAGGCTGAAATGGACCAGTGACTGATATCATGAGTAACTTCCTGTCGGGTTACAATGATAGACAATCAACCACGTTACAAAGCATGACTCCTCAATCCATCTACAGGAAGCATGGTTGCTGGGAACATATCCCGACAGTAAACCCACGGAGCTCTCTGTTCAGGAAGTGTCACTGATGTCAAAGTGAAGAGTTATTCTTCTGGCCTCCATATGAAAACCGACACTGCTATAACACACTGTCATATATCTACAGTACACAAGGAATCGGCAGCATAAAACTATGACAACATAACCAACGTATGAAATAAGCCAAAAACCCAGCCAGACATCAGAGCTGGTAACTTCAAAATGTTACCAGCCCAAAATGGATTTACTGGTAATCAGACCAGACACCAAGATAAAGTGAATTTACTCAGGTGTATGGAACATCTAATTTTTTTTACAAAACCATTGGGCTGGCAAGCTGTAAATTTAGATGGTCCGCCAAAAATCTAGCCCGTCCCGGGCGGTCGGACAAGCCGCATTTCATACACTGACATAACTACAAACCACTAGTCCTAGTCTGAGGGCGCTACCAAAAACATGGAACCGGCAGCACCAAATACACTGGATTCTTTCAAACGAGGCATATGCAGACCAAGTTTGATACTGCCATTTCCATTTTGTTCAAGAATGCTGTGTGACTTACAATGTTGTTTCATATTCTAGGATATGTTCCCATGGTAATATGTTGCCAATTCCAATGCGATTTTTATGGTAGACTGTCGGTTTCTACCGGTCAGCCTGTTGTTTGGTGTCACTTACATTCCCTTCTCCTTGATGCCCTGGTAGACGTCCCCGTTGCTGGAACCGGCTGTGTAGGGGAGCTCGTCGTGTGCCACGAAGTCAATCTGTAATACAAGTGAGGGATCAGTTTACTCGTGCTGGTTAATGACTCTAGTAGTAGTGGTAGTAGAAATAGTGAGTGAGTTTAGTTTTACGATGCTTTTAGCAATATTCAAGCAATATCAAGGCGGGGGACACCAGAAATGGGCTTCACACATTGCCATGTGGGAGTTTGGTCTTCAGCGACGCTTTAACGCTTTACCCACTAGGCTACCCTACGCCTCAGTAGTAGTAGTAGTAGTAGTAGTAGTAGTAGGGGTAGCCTAGTGGTTTAGCGTTGGCTGCCATGCAGAAGGAGTAGCTGTAGGACATGGGTACAAGTAGCAGCATTTTGCAGCCCCCGCCGAGATGTTGCAAAACTTATCAATGCTCTGGAAAAGAATAGCTCTAGTGAATGCTCAAAGCAGTAGCATTAAAGTAGCAGTAGCAGTAGCAGTCAGTAGCAGTAGCAGGAGCAGTAGCTGACAAACTTATCAGTGCTCAGCTCCCAGTACAGGGGTATACAGCAAGTATTATTCCTGTTCTATGGAGGTTAATAGTCAACATACTTCTGCTCATATGTATAGGCAGGTAGTATCACTTCTAGTTGTACTGTTTCATAATACAGGTGAACATATTCACTTGCCTATCAAGACACGTTTGTTAGTCAGATCAAGACACCTTGGCTATGTGACACTCTGCAGCTACCACAGCACTAAGTCAATTACAGTGGAGTGAGTGAGTGAGATTAGAATTACGCCGCACTCAGCAATATGCCAGCTATATGGTGGCGGTCTGTAAATAATTGAGTCTGGACCAGACAAACCGGTGATCAACAGCATGAGCATCGATCTGCGCAGTTAGGAACCGATGATATGTGTCAACCAAGTCAGCTAGTCTGACCACCCGATACCGTTTGTCACCTCTTACGACAAGCATGGGTTACTGAAGGCTCATTCTTACCCGGACCTTCATGGGTAATTACAGTGGAAGCTGTCTAAACTGGAAAATTGTAGAGCTGACACAGTTACCTATGATTAGAACTGAGCTCATATTCACTTTTATTCACCCATACTGAACTATGATTAAATCATCTTGGTCGGCAAGCAGGTAGCTACTTAACGTTAGATGGCTGCCACACACTTATAATCCCTTGTCATTATTACACCGTATGAGTTGGTGACAATACACATGACTCCTCGCCACGCCGCCGGATTAGACAGCGCTAATTACTGTATAGACACATATTCAGGCAGCTAATTCATTGCGAGATCCGAATTGACAGCTGCCGGATTGCAGAGCTTTTAAATGATGATAAATGTACTAGCCACAGATTTTATGCCAGTGTTGACAACTTGCCGGATTGGACAGCTGCCAGTTTTGACAGCTTCCACTGCATAGAGTCAATCTTGATTAACTATTAACCACTAGCAAGACAATCCAGTGATTGATATAGTGAGCATGCAATGCCAAGTCACCAGGTTGCTGTAGGCCTATTCTAACCAGAACTCTCTGTTCACAAACCTTGTGTTCTTCTAGAAATTCTTCATTCAGTACCCAGGGTGCATCTGTGACAATTTCATCGACATATCGACAATGTCTGACAGCTTCGTATCTTTCTCGTTCGTTCATGACAGTCCTGCCCTTCATCTTGTGTGTGTGGCCATCATTACACACTGTCAAAAACAATAGAAAATCCATGTGTGGCCATCACTACACACTGTGGGGACAGGATTGTACAGTAAGTGATGAACAAATATTGTTTTATGACGCTTTAGCAATATTAGAGCAATTTGGCAGAGACACCAGAAAAGAGATCCAGACGTTATACACACGTGAAAAATTGAGCATTTTTCTGGAAATTGACTGCAATATCAGACAAGGAAGAGGAAGTGAAAATGTATTTAATTTAAAAAATAATGAGTCTGGGGTCTTTTTATATTCTTGGGATCTCCAGCAAATTACAAGGACCTGTTGAATTTCAAGCTAAATTCGAAGCACAGATGATGAATTAATACAGTTCTTAATTTAACACATTCCATACCTAGAAATGGTCACCTGCAGGTATTATCATTAATCAAAATGTCAAACTTTCATCTTTCTGATACAATGTTACCATGGCAACGACATACACACCTCCCACTATGAGGTAGGTATTTGGGAAGGCCAGTTTGGCTTGCATCAGTTGTCGGGCGTGGCCACTGTGAAACATGTCGTAGATTCCGTCAGCATAAACTCGTATTGGTCGGGTTGCTGCAACAAGTGAAGACGTTAAGACTGAGGATGTTGTCAATATTGTAGATATTATTGCTGTGGATGTTGTTTTCATCGTGGTAGATGTTGCAGTGGCTGTCATGTTTGCAGATGTTGATACTGATGATGTTGGTGTATTTTATTTTTGCCGTGGATGTTTTGATCATTGTTGTGGTTGTTGTTGCTGTGGATGTTGTTACAGATGTTTTGGATGTTGTTGTTGAAATAATTGCTATTGTGTTCAGTCTAAGTAAACTTAGACTCAGTATTATTCGTTACACTGCTATACTGAGTCTAACAAAACCTTGTGGAAGGTCGCGTCAGGTAACCTTTGAGCGACCTATGACTGTCCAATCAAAGGCGAGACGGACGAATGGATTTAACCAACCAACGGCTACTATTTAGGTTCTGTAGGACTTACAAAATGGATTTTCTCGCCCCCCGGTCGCCAACACTGATCTCCCAACAAATGAAAATCCACATAAAACACTGATATTTGACCTGCAGTATATGCTTTGGGGTTCCTGTTGACATGGTTATAATTAGCTAATATTTCCGCAAGTTGGCATGCTTTAATACTGACAAAACGCTATTTTCAGCGAATGTTTACTCACTGCTGTGGCGTGCATCACTAGGAACCGGTCGTATGGAAAAGAGCATTCGGAATCATTCGAGTACAAACATTTTCGAGGTAAAAGTTCATAAGTCCACTTTCGCGATTTGGTAAGCTGTGTTCTGATTGGTCAATTGGAAAGGTTACCTGACGCGACCTTCCACAAGGTTTTGCTAGACTCAGTATAGCAGTGTAACGAATAATACTAAGTTTACTTCGACTGTGTTGTGTTGTACTGTTGCTGCTGTCATGGATGTAGTTTTCATTATTACCACTGTGCATGTTGCTGTTGATATTGTTATTATTATTGCAGTAGATGATAATTATTAATGTTGAGGATGTCAATATCTTTTGTCGCAGTGGTTGTTGTTTTTGTTGTTGATGATGATGTTATTGTTGTTGATGTTGTTATTGCTGTTTATGATGTTGTTACTGGTGCTGTGTTCTTATTCTTTTTTATGTTATCGTTGTTGATGATGCTGTTACTGTTGGTGCTGATGTTTGTTAATGTTGTTTATGATGTTGTTACTGTTGATGATGATGATGTTGTTACTGTTGATGTTGGTATTGTTGTTTATGATGTTGTTACTGTTGATGATGATGTTGTTATTGTTGCTATACCCGATGTCCCCTCACCTTGTCCCGTCTTAGCCTGCTCCAAGCTGAACCTGGTGGTATAGTCACAGAGGTTCAGGTTCTCCATAGCCAGAGGCTCATAGTGGTAGGGGGCGGGGCCCATGTTCTACAACAACAAGGACCATTACATCACTGTAGGGGGCGGGCCCGTGTCCTACAAACAACAAGGACCATTACATCACTCATAGTGGTAGGGGGCGGGGCCCATGTTCTACAACAACAAGGACCATTACATCACTCATAGTGGTAGGGGGCGGGGCCCATGTTCTACAACAACAAGGACCATTACATCACGCATAGTGGGGCGGGCCCATGTTCTACAAACAACAAGGACCATTACACATCACTCCATAGTAGGAAGCGGGCCCATGTTCTCAAACAACAAAGGACCATTACATCACTCATAGTGGTAGGGCGGGCCCATGTTCTACAACAACAAGGACCATTACATCACTCATAGTGGTAGGGGGCGGGGCCCATGTTCTACAACAACAAGGACCATTACATCACTCATAGTGGTAGGGGGCGGGGCCCATGTTTCTACAACAACAAGGACCATTACACTCACTCATAGTAGGGAGCGGGGGCCCATGTTCTACAACAACAAGGACCATTACATCACTCATAGGCGAAGGGCCCATGTTCTACAACAACAAGGACCATTACATCACTCATAGTGTAGAAGGGCCCATGTTCTACAACAACAAGGGGGCACTATGTAGTAGAAGGGCCCATGTTCTACAACAACAAGGACCATTACATCACTCATAGTGGTAGGGGGCGGGGCCCATGTTCTACAACAACAAGGACCATTACATCACTCATAGTGGTAGGGGGCGGGGCCCATGTTCTACAACAACAAGGACCATTACATCACTCATAGTGGTAGGGGGCCGGGCCCATGTTCTACAACAACAAGGACCATTACATCACTCATAGTGGTAGGGGGCGGGGCCCATGTTCTACACAACAACAAGGACCATTACATCACTCATAGTGGAAGGGCCCATGTTCTACAACAACAAGGACCATTACATCACTCATAGTGGGGGCATGGGCCCATGTTCTACAAAACAACAAGGACCATTACATCACTAGTGGTAGGGAAGGGCCCATGTTCTACAACAAAAGGACCATTACATCACTCATAGTGGAGGGGGCGGGCCCATGTTCTACAAACAACAAGGACCATTACATCACCTATAGTGGTAGGGGGCGGGCCCATGTTCTACAACAACAAGGACCATTACATCACTCATAGTGGTAGGGGGCCGGGCCCATGTTCTACAACAACAAGGACCATTACATCACTCATAGTGGTAGGGGGCGGGGCCCATGTTCTACAACAACAAGGACCATTACATCACTCATAGTGGTAGAAGGGCCCATGTTCTACAACAACAAGGACCATTACATCACTCATAGTGGTAGGGGGCGGGGCCCATGTTCTACAACAACAAGGACCATTACATCACTCATAGTGGTAGGGGGCGGGGCCCATGTTCTACAACAACAAGGACCAATTACATCACTCATAGTGGTAGGGGGCGGGGCCCATGTTCTACAACAACAAGGAAAATTACATCACTCAGCTGTGGAACACACTGCATACATTTTGTTCCAACACAAACCCAAATCAATAAAAATGCTTCATTTAGCACATTTTTTGGTTTCCATTGATGATAAAAATCTATAAAAGTGACAGTCAATAATTTTATTGGCATTACACACTAGGGCTGTTATGATTCACTCAAATATTCAGTGAATATTCTTCCTACATGTATTCCATGGGTACAATGTGTGAAGCCCATTTCTGGTGTCCACCGCCGTGATATTGCTGGAATATTGCTAAACGCTAAACTCATTCACTCACTCCTACATGAATTCATTTCATTATACGCGATCACTAGCATGATTTATTAAAAAAGCTGTGTTTGTACTTGACTTCGCGTGTCACATTGTTACATCAAACTGAGATACATGGAAGGATGGAATGATAATAGCCAACTGTCCTATATGGTGGTTTCCCTCTGTGGCACTTGTGTCTGTCACACATCACTGATTACTTAATAATTGGTGTTATTTCTATCTAAGGCCAGACCAATTTTCTTTCTTGTTTTACGGATCCACCAGTCATAATTTTTCAAGAATAAGAAAAAAAATAAAAGATAATTTTCCCCGATCAAAAAATAAAATCCTAATGTTTTATTGGTCAAAACTGTAAATTTACAAGAAAAGCTTTATTTTGATTGTGTTTTGCCTCATATAAACTTCATAAATTGCCAAAAGTAAAGTACTTTTAGCATTTAATTATTTTTATTTTAATTTTATTACCCTCCTGCCTTTAGGTTTTCTGATGACAAAAATCCGTAAAACAAGAAATAATATTGGTCTGGCCTAATGAGGTTAGTCAAAGGTGTTAATGATCTACCCTCAATTAGTTGCTGCACACATGTGCCACACAGGGAGATAACATAGCACTCGTCAAGATTCCCAGATCAATTAATTTGCCGTGTGCCACAGAGGAAAGTGCCACAGAGGGCATAAACTGTCTTATATATTTGATTTGACAGTCATGTGGTCACTGGCGTGAATAATTAACAGTCTAAATGGTCAAGACACGTCACAGAATATATTTTATTGATGTTCCACTGAATATAATAAATGATACATCAGCTGTTATTGTTTATTGTATTTCTGACCCAATAATCACATTCATTACCGATACTTGTCAAGAAAGAACACCTTTAAGTTTCAGAGATACGATCAAACACACCCCTATCACCAGAGGCAGGCAAACTTGTTGCCATGGAAACAGGGAAAAAAATATGTTTCAAAATTCCTCTACACCAAAAGGCACCACTGATAAAAAATGTTGAGGCCTAAAAAAAAAAAGCTTGTGGTTCCGATTTCCCGACCGACCCTAAATATTCCCGCCGAGCCTAACAATTTTACTCACCACATAATAAATTAAATTTATTTTCTGACACATGAGTAATGTAAAAATATTTTGCAAAAACCCCCCAAAAAACCCTACCTACCTACCCTAGTTCTGAAATGTAGGAAATCAGAACCATAACATTTATTTTTGGGCCTAATCACAATCATTACCCGATACTTGTCATATGTATCAAATTCACCTCACAGTGGATCCGTTCCAGCCCTATCAATAATATATATTTGTTTGTTTGGAGTTAAATATCCCACACTCTGCAATATTCCACCTATAAGGCAGTGGTCAATAAATAATTGAGTCTGGATCAGACAATCCAGTGATCAACCCCATGAGCACCGATCTACACAATTGGGATATGATGACAAGTGTCAACCAAGTCAGCGAGCCTGACCACCTCATTCTATAAGTGAAGTTGGTTGGTTTGTTGCTTAACACCGCACTCAACAATATTCCAGCTATATTGTGGCGGTCTGTAAATAATCAAGTCTGAACCAGACAATATAGTGATCAACAGCATGAGGAACGATGTACGTAACTGAGATACAATGTGTCAAAAAAGTCAGCGAACATGACCACCTGATTGCTTCTTACAACAAGCCAATTTTGCCGGAGTGAGTGAGTGAGTGTGGTCTTACGCCGCTTTTAGCAATATTCCAGCAATATCATGGTGGGGGACACCAGAAATGGGCTTCACACATCGTACCCATGTGGGGAATTGAACCCGGGTTTTCGGCGTGACGACAGACGCTTTAACCACGTGGCTGCCTCACCGCCCTCTAACCCAGATCTTCACAGGTCCATAAATATATAGATCATACTCCAGAGTTCTGTGAATCGTTCAACACGATCGATATCACTTACACATGTCAAAATTCTTCTTGCATCTACAATTATCCAGTGTTTACCTCTCAGTGTTTGCCTTATGATTTTATTCAAATAACCTAGACACAATTACTATTACCGACTCACGTCACACCTGATTGGAATAGCATGACTCTAAATATAACCTACTAATTATTACTTACATCAGAGACAGACATGTTGTGCTAAGTTAGTGATGACAGATAGTGAAAGTGGCATCACTTCAGAAACAAGCACAGAAAAATAATGTTCAACAGGCTGCATTGTATGTCACTGGCGTGTAGTTACCCAGCTGCAGTAACAGGGAGATTAGCGATTACAATTGACTGTGACGACATGGCAACGATGATGTCACAAAGCAGGGTATTCACTAGACTAACATCTAGTCTCTGAAATGAACATATTTTACAGAAAAATACTGTTCACAAAATATAACCAGAAAATATAATCAAAAGGAGCCCAGAAACTTTCTTCATTTTCAGAAACTGTGTAAATCTAGACTTGCTACATGGTCTAGACTTCTAAATGGGCTTTCTTGGATATATATTTATATTATATATTATATATTTGTTTCAGGGTCTGTATGACAGACTAGGCATTCACCATAATAAGACTGAATATTTAATTCACTTGATTATCGAGGATGAGTGGCATCAACAACTTGACATTTCGTTATCACTGATATGCGAGGGGACCTCCAGTGACCTTTCACCTACATACAACAGAGGTCACCAAGGACACAAGCAGGAGCATGGGCCAAGTACAAAGGTTATCAATCATTACTGCATCACCAGAATTACTCTCAACAACCTCTGGACCCTGGACTTCCGAAACGTCAAACGACAACAACCTAACATGACAAATGAGGTTATTGGTCATGCTGATATTTTGGTAATATGAGACCAGCCATTTGATGAATACATGCCACGTTTTATGAATAACAACTTCTTTATTCTTTACACGACATTTCAGAGCTAATTCTTGCGCCTTCATCAGATGAAAAAAGAAGTTGTTATCCATAAAACTTGTCATGTATTCATGTTCATCCAACTTCTAAATGGCTTTCAAAAACTTTAGTCATTTGATATTTGGGTGGGGGTGGGTGGGTCCAGGGTTATATTGAGAAAAAACATAACTTGTCCCTTAATATGCTTGAAAAAAATAATAAAATGTAAAACTGATGTCTTGATAACAATGGCCAGCAAAGTATTGAAATACAGCAGCTTAAACACAAATATGCCCTAGATATTGAATGCGATTGTCAGAACATCTATCATTGCAACACCACT